CAAAGGTGTCGATATCGGTTTGCACTCTTTCATGTTTGCTCTCTCAAGGAGATCAACGGCATACTTTGTCTGACAATGGAAGAGTTCCTTGGGTGTGTGCTTTGCTTCTATACCCAACAAGTAATTGATGGTATCAGAGCTGAATGCTGCTTCTGTAGCATTTGCAGTTCAAACTTACAAGTCGACAATGCGACTTCATTAAGGTTTTTCATCTTTTGTTGGTCCACTTTCTGGTCATAAGAATTGGCCATATTGTTTAATCTATCTTCCATCGCTTTTACGCACACCAACGTTAACACCTCTGCTTGCTTTGACGACATGTCTTCAACCTCTAACTTGCTCTTCAGCTGGGCTACGTTGAGATTTGACTTTGACATTGTAGACATTCTTGCTAAACCGACTCTTAGTTGAAGAATCTGCTTTACTGCAGACATGCTGGAGAGAAATTGCGGGAGCCTATGCGAATAGATGAAACCTGGAGAGAAATCGCAGCTTCGAACCAAGAGTCAAATGAGTTTTGGGCATATTGATACACCCTAAGTCCTTCGTGTGAAAAGTTGAACCGAGAGATTTAATCAGTTGTGCAAGTAAATGATCAGAATTACCAGTCAACAAAATATCATCCATGTAAAACAAAAGTAGAATTTTGTCTTGCCCCTTATGAAACACAAAAAGTGATGGATCAGTAGTGCTACAGAAGAATCCCGACTCAAGTAGGAAGTTACTAAACTTCTCAAACCAGGCGCGTGGTGCCTGTCGTAGGTCGTAAAGGGACTTCCGGAGTAAGCACACATGATCAGTAAGTGTAGGATGCGCAAACCCCGGAGGTATCGACCACTTCTTTACCATTGCAACCGAGAGAACGATCCGAATTGTTGCCTGTTTTACGACCGGACTAAATGTTTCAAGGAAATCAATTCCCTCCTCTTGGTGGACCCCCTGCGCTACCAATCGTGCTTTCAACTTGTCAAGACTTCCATCAGGTGCTAATTTGGTTTTAAAAACCCACTTGCACCCTATTACATGCATTTGATTTGTTCTCGGAACTAAGGTTTAGGTTTGGTTTTCATGAAGTGCATTCATCTCTTCTTTCATCGCTTTATTCCATTCCTCATGTGCTAATGCGGATTTGACTGTCTTGGGCTCTGCAGGCACGTGATATTCAACCCAACAAGCGTACTTGGGATTTGGCTTCACAATCCCTGGCTTGGACCGGGTTTGCATAGTGTGTTTTGATGTTCCACTTGGTTGAGAGGGCTGCAAAACTTGTGTTTCCTAACCCGGGCAACTGTCGACTAGAGCTGTAGTAGGTTGGACAGGTGGACTTTCCCTTCTCAGCTCTAAAACAGATGATGAATCTGAAACAGGTGGTGATTGTTGATTTGACGGTTTCTGGGACTTCTCAATTGTAGTATAAGGAACACACATCTGTCCAATTTCAAGCACCCCACTTTCTTGTAAAAAACCTGCATTGTCATTAGTGATATTCCTTATTTGCTCTTCTCTGTTTGAATCCAGAAATTCAACCTCTTCAACCCATTTCTTATACAAAGCAATATAATGTGGAAACACTTCATTCAGCTTCTTAGCAAAAGGGAAGAAACTTTCATCAAATGTGACATTTCGGCTAATATAAACTCTGCCATTAGAGGGTACAAGACACCGGTACCCTTTATGTATGTCACTGTAGCCGAGAAACACACAAGTGAGTGAGCGAGGATCGAACTTGTGTTGCGCATAAGGTCTGAGACAAGGATAAGAAGCACTTCCGAATACCCGTAGATGTTTATAACTTGGTTTATGCCCGAAAAGCTTGCTGCGAGGAGACTCCACATGATGAGAAGCACTTCCACATGATGATGCTTCCGTTCAGAAATCCCGTTTTGTTCCGGAGTGTATGGACAAGACATGTAATTTTTTATCCCACAAGCCTTTAAATGATTCTGAAATTTAACGCTTGAAAATTTGCCCCCGCCATCACATTGAAACACTTTAATTTTGCGATCAAATTGATTTTCCACATATTTCTGAAGCAAGACGAAGATATCATAGAAATCCGACTTCAACTTCATTGGATAAACCCAACTATAGCGGAAAAAGTTGTCTACAAAGACAACATAAAATCCGAAACCCTGAAATGATCTCAGTGGCGATGGTCCCCAAATGTCACAGTGAATCCTTTCCAAAGGAAAGTTGGTTCCAAACTCAGACAACGATAATGCTAACTTAGTACTTTTTACTATCTGACAACTCCCATGATTTCTCTCCATGTTTCATCTATTCGCACAGGCTCCCGCGATTTCTCTCCAACATGTCTGCAGTAAAGCAGATTCTTCAACTAAGAGTCGGTTTAGCAAGAATGTGTACAATGTCAAAGTCAAATCTCAACGTAGCCCAGCTGAAGAGCAAGTTAGAGGTTGGAGGCATGTCGTCAAAGCAAGCAGAGGTGGTAATGTTGGCGTGCGTAAAAGCGATGGAAGATAAATTGAACAATATGGCCAATTCTTATGACCAGAAAGTGTACCAACAAAAGATGAAAAACCTTAATGAAGTCGCATTGTCGACTTGTAAGTTTGAACTGCAAATGCTACGGAAACAACATTCAGCTCTGATACCATCCATTTCTTGGGTATAGAAGCAAAGCACACACCCAAGGAACTCTTCCTTTGTTAGACAAAGTATGCCGTTGATCTCCTTGAGAGGGCAAACATGAAAGAGTGCAAACCAATATCGACATCTCTGTCAATGAAATCATCTCATACAAGATGAAGTATTTCTTGATCAACCACTTGAATACCGAAGCTTAGTTGGGGGTCTTCAATATTTAACGATAACAAGACCGGACATCACTTATGCTACCAATATGCTTTGTCAGAAAATGCGGAAACCTACAGTTGATGATTTTGACAGATTGAAACGAGTTCTTCAGTACGTTAAAGGGACCGTCAACTTGGGACTCTTCATTCACTCTAACAGATCATTGAAGCTTTACGAGTTTTCGGATGCCGATTGGGCAGGTTGTGTTGAAACGAGACGTTCTTCTACCGATTTTTGTACTTATCTTGGTTCGAATATAATCTCATGGTCAACAAAGAAGCAAATAACCGTATCTCAGTCATCAATGGAGGCAGAGTACAGAGCGCTTGCCTCTGCTACTACTGACCTCACGTGGATAAGTTTCGTTCTTTGGGACATTGGAATATCATTAGCTTCACCAACGGTACTCTTTTGTGATAATCAATCGGCGATTTCTCTTACTGCTAATCCCGTTTTACATGCCAAGACGAAACACATATAAATTGATTTTCACTTCGTCCGCGAGAAAGTATCATTGGGTTCTCTCAGTGTACAATATGTTCCGAGCAACTGTCAAATTGCTGACATTTTTACTAAGGCGTTGTAAAGATGGGACCATTGCATCATCCGAACCAAACTGGGTTTAGGATTCAAACCCTTACCCAGTTTGCAGGTGGATGTTGAGATTACATCTTCGATCGGTTTGTGTGGAAATCATTTGCAGATAATCGAAGGGAAGAAGAAGGAAGAAACTCTGATTGAAGACAAAGGTTTTGAGTCTCAAGCTATTGGAAAAACTCCAACTGGAAGAGAGGATTTACATTAAGAGAGAGCTGCTCAATCAATCAGAAGGAAATGAAAAGAAGTCTTAGAAGAAAACGATGCCGTCTCGTCTGCTACATAAATATATTCTCTCGAAACTTCTAGCGGTACGTGTTAGCATAAGAAGACTTGTACTCTCAATAACCGTTTTGCAACTCTGAGCCATGAAGAATTGCAGTGACGAGAAAAAGAATTTGTTAAAGAATTTCTATATTTTTATTTCTTTATTTTTTGTGTGCTGAGCTGTAATTCGACTATTGGCTGCTCTGGATCTAGATTTTTTGGTCATATAAATTGTAAAAATGAACGCCGAAGAAAATGAGCTGAGCTCTCGGATGAAAAGTTTCGTGAGAATGAAGGAAATGGCTATGGCAGCAAGATTTCTTTCTATTCTGCTTTAATTATTTCCTTCTTTTATTCAGTTTTCTACGGGAACAGTGTATGCCAGCACAGGATCCTAAACTACATCATCAATTTATGCATTCTGCCAGTCTGTGATTACACAAAAACCATACAAGAAATCGTCATTCTCTGAATCCGTCAATGATGTGACTAGAAAAGAGACTTATCACTGGGAGATAATGAAAAGTTACCATAAGGTGACGGAACTGTAGTTTTCAACATTTACAGTTATATGACTTTGGAAACTAGTCATTACATGACCAAATGAGACTGATCATACACAGAACAGAACACCTGACCTGCTTTATGACAAGTTACCCACGTAGTTCATGAATTCTCAAGCTAGACAGCTGAGAACTTGAAGAAAATCTCAAGCTAACCATCAGTCATCATGATCATCTCTACCAGTCAACCAATCTATGAGAACATTCAAGCTGAAGTTTATTGAGAACCTTCAATGCGGAACAAGGTTCCACAAAGCTGTTGGTAAGGTTAAACAGATAAATGATGGCAGTAAGCTTGCAATGAATTGGGCACTATTTATCCGAGGTACCCCCATATGTTGCAAAGTTTCAACTGTATAGGAATGAGTCGATTAGCAAATATATAGCAACATATTAGAATACTGACCGAGTTTCAGATGCCAAATAACCAAGAAACAGCTCAAATTCTCCATCTATTATCCATAACACTCCTAAGAGACCATTGGCAGTCCAATTTTATCGACAAATATGGAAAAACAATGAGGCAGCCATCATTGTCCACTAGGATCATTCAGTTGCTGGGATACCTAGCATCTAGTGTAAGAGCAACCTGCTGATTCTCTAGCTTAGAATTCTTCCTCTATACACATTAATGCCCTCACAAGTCGATTCGCAGAAAACCGAGCCTTACCATTATAGAATGATTAAAAATTCCAGCATGATATTCCACCTAGTCCCAAAGCCCAGCAGAAAGAGGATCCAAACACATTGCACTAATATCACAAAAAGTAAGCCTCTTAAAATTTTATTAATGGCAATGCTTGAGTTCTGCTTGGAAAAAACGCAATTCACATTGAAAATCCATACTTGAAACTCGAACAGCACCGTATAGCAAAGATGTGTCCGCATCCCACCAAATAAAGGGTTGAAAAATCCACCAGAACGATAAAATGCTACTACTCATCATCTTGATCTGCAAATAAACGAAGATGGAGTCAGTCTACTACCTTTCACCTACACTCTTTGTCAATTTAGCCAACGTACTCTATTTCCACGAACTCCTCAGTCGAGATAGCTTCTCATTTCAGTTTTACATCAAAACACATTTTATCTAGCACAAAAGCAACGAGTGGAAAATGATGCCGATAAATCGATGCAACTCGGCCACGGAACGATATTCCCTTCCATGAAAACAGCCCTTCGAAACAGGTACTTAGTTGAAAGTATTCCACTCCTTAGGCACACATAGAGACACAAAACCCAGTATAAAAACACAAATCCCACATACTCTGGAGCACTGAGGAGATTGTTCAGCACAAATCCCACAATGCTTTTGCCTCGAGCACACGGAACTCGGGACGGGTTTCTCAGTTTCGCAATACAGGCCAGTCAAGGAGCACTTAAAATGGAATGCCAAAACAAGAACAAGAAGATTAAAATACAAAAGGATGCCGCAAGCCCAGGTCCGATCAGAACAAGAAAATCGGAAAGGAAAGAGCTTTAATCCAGAGACAGCAATTCCATGGAACCCCCCACCAATTCACAGCCAAGAACTCGAGATTAACGCCGCAACAGAATCAAGGGACGAACAAGTTGGGAACTTTACGCAAAAAGGGGGTGGAAAGATACCGAAGTAGCGGCGCTCATTGGCAGCCTTGGCCTTGTCGAGCATCTTGTCGAGATCCTGCTGGAGCTGAGCGTCCCATTTCACCAGCTGGGTCACGAACACCGCCCCGAGCCCCATCCCGATCGCATGCTCCCACGGATCTGAGCTTCGAAACAAGAAGGCACCAAGTACCCAGAAAAGCCTTCAACCCAACATCTTACAGGAGCGGGAATTCAAGGATTGGAAAGCAACGAATTCACGGAAAAGATTAGGGTTTGGACGTACGGCGCATGTAAGGGAGCTTGCGGAGGGCGTTGGAGTACATCTGCGTGCCCAGCCCCAGCAGCGCTCCCACCATCGTCGCGCTCCACGCCATCTCTGCTCTCTGCTCTCTCTCTGCTCTGTGTGAAGAAGAAGATCAGCTTGGTTTGAGCTTCAAGAGGTGCTCGCAGGAAGAGACAAGACTGTTCGCCAATGGCGATTGCGGGGCTCGACCGGCCCGAAGGAATCGCTCCCCCCCAATTTTTTCGAGATTTTCGATTTGTGCCCCCTATAATTTTGCTGAAAAATTCAATTTGGTCCCTTATAAAAACGAAAAACTGGTCGTGTGTGTAGCCCGGCCTCCTTTTTGCTCACGTACACAATAATGTTTTTCCTCGTTGTGTGCCGCAACTTCTTCATTGATGATTTGATTAATTGGAGGGATAATAGCATAAATGGTCCCCGAACTTTTAATTTGTTCAATACGATCCCTGAATTTTTTATATATGTTCAATTTAGTTTCCGAACTATACAAAAATGTTCAATTTAAGTTCGAGACAACATTGAACATTTTCACATCAACATTAAAAATTTACGTATAGTTCATGAACTAAATTGAACATGTACCAAAAGTTCAGGGACCGCATTGAACATGTATTAAAAGTTCAGGGACTACATTGCACACTACGGTAAAGTTCGAGGACCACATTAAACAAATTAAAAGTTCATGGATCATATTACACATTGAATCAAAGTTCGTGAACCATTTGCATCATTTTCCCTTAATTGAAAGTTTCACAATGATAAACTTTCAAAGACCAAAATTGGGGAATTACAAATCTTATTCAATAATAGTTTTAAAATGAACCATTTACGGGCAAATCCTTCGCGTTTGGGAAATATGATACTATGATTTTTTTTCTTCTGCTGTGTAACAAAGATATTATGGGAATTCAATAATTTATAATTTCTACGAAATAGCTTGAAATGGCGCATCTCTTTCAAGACTAGGACCTTTTTATCATGATTTTTACTCAGTTGCATAGGTCGATCTATTATTGTCCGAATAGCATTTTTCAAACTACGGTGCGAGCACATATGGCGTCCCTCTTCTTGCACCATCGAATCCATAGGTTCAGGCGAAGGAGGACGGAGAAATTACTCGACCCCGTGGAGCTATAATAGTCACAATGGTATTGTTGAACTTGCTTAAACATGAGCAATTTTCTTTAGCATCCTAGATTTACCCTAACCTAACGGACCTAAGGGGGGCCTAAAAGTGACCCCCAATCTCCTAGGTTTGACAATCGCTTACATTTAGGTAAAAAGAAAGTTTCAAGAACGATATGGTATTTATTAAAGGGGAATTTCCCGCTGCATCGCGACCTCAATTTCTCGACCCGCCATTGCTTACGCGAACCGCTACGAACGTTGCCATGCAAACCGGTTATTAATATAGATTTGGCCATACTTTATCATTGCATAACCAAATCTGCCGACGGCTACGCTAGCAGCAAATTCATTGGTCGTTGACCTCACCTTACATGGACAAGGAAAGATGTCCAAAGAAAGAACAAGCCAGACATTAATCTATGGAAGCTATTACACAATTGGAAAAACAATCTCTCTGTTCTTTAATGATCAACGCCAAAGCTCCAATCCTGTTAAACCAAGAGGGGGAAATCGGGAAGGTGGTGCGAGGAGATGAAGATGAACTTCATTGGAGGCCATGGGGGGGCAAGTTCTTGGCGGGGTTACTGCAAAACTTGAGAGGTGGACCGGTCAAGGCAAGATTAAAGGAAACTGATCAGGATCTGGAGGGGCGAAGCGAAAATGGGCAGCGCAATTAACGGCAATCCCAGCTCAGATCCGGTCAGAAGTCAAGGATGGGAAGAAAACGGAAAGAAAGAGGAAGGGGAGCGAATAAGGCAACAAATGACGAAATGCGGGGATGCAGAGGAGGGGAAGGCTCTTAAAAGCAGGTCTATTTTTGGGCATTCTTTCGGGATGTCGATCTAGAAAACTGAACTCCATAAGAAGGGGGGCCCGACGCCCGCACGGTTTGCAACGGGTCAAGGGAAAAAGAGAACCAACGTCCGTCCGTCCGTCCCTCCCTCCCTCCCTCCATTGATTCTTTGGTTGCTCTGCTTGACTCTGTTCCGTGTTCTGTTTCCTCTGCCCGATCCTCTTAGCCTCTTCTCGTTCCGAGCCAAATTCCCCACTTCTCTCTCTGTCTCTCTCTCTCTCTCGCTCTCTCTCTCTCTGTGGAGCTGTTAAACGGGAGGCCCAATTATAGGCAGAGAAAGCGCCTCTTTAAAGATAGATTGACGGGTTATATGGTGTCGTCAAAGTAGTTAGTCGTTGCCCATCTCTCTGTCTCTCTCTGTCTCTCTCTCCTCGTAATTTTGCTCTGGAGGAACTCGTCAAACGAAGCACCAGGGGGGGAAAGAATGGAAATCCTAAAAAAGAAGATTTGGAATTGTCAAACGTATTCCCGTGAAATTGATTGATTGATTCCTTTGTCAATCTCTCCACCCATTTTGCTCCAATGGGTTCTCTCGCCTCACATTTGTCATCTTGATTTCCTTTTCTTTCTTTCTTTTTTCCTTTTTTCCGGGGTTGTTTTTAGGGGGAAACAATGGCGTCTTCTCAGGTGGAGATCGCGGCAGCTTCGTCTCCGTTCGGTTGCGTCTTGAGGGATCACAGCCGGAGAGACGGATGTAACAGGGACTTTCGCAAGAACCTCAAGGACTTGGTCAGAGATCACCTCCACACGTGCCTCCCCGGTGACAATGCGTCTCGCAACCCCATCGTCGCCAACAACTCCGACACCAACAACGACAGCGACAACACCGACGCCAACGACAGGAACAATCGCGCGAATTTAAGGCCTTTGTGCGGCTCGAATGGCATTGACAGAGACAGAGACGGACAGGAATTGTCGCCGCCGCCACTGACGCTGAGGCAAGCTCGGGGTTCCGATCGATGGGCACCTCAACAAGCTGGAGACATGGTGTCCTCCACCATGGAGATACCTGCTCCTTCTCCTCATTCTTCTTCTTCTTCTTGTGTGTCGAATTCGCAATCCCAATCGGAGAGCGGTAACAATAATTCAGGGGTCGGAGGAGGAGCTTCTTCTCTTGTGCAGATGTGGGAGGCCAGGCTTAATCGGTCAACAAGCATCAACAGGAGCAATAACATCAATATTAGCATCAACATCCCCAACAATAACGCTAACCATAACAGCAGTAGCTGCAGCAGCAATTCGTATTCTTCCGCGTCGAGCAGTTCCAGCAGGAGTCCTAAATCTATTGCTTCCGCAAATGTGGAAGATTTGTCGAGGGTACCTGACCTGGAATTGAGCGATATAATGGTTGCTTCTGAGGACCCGTCTCCTCCACCTTCTTCTTCATCATCTATAGCAGATAGTGCGGCACTAGGAGGAGGAGGAGGAGGAGGAGGAGGGCAGAAACAGAAGGTTAGAGTGGCTGATATCATCAGGAGATTGACTATTTCTGATAACGATCATGACACGAATGGGAATAGCGGATCGCCATCTGTATCGGAATACATGGAGGCACAGAGGGGATTTGTGCCGGTCTTGAGTTCGCCGAGGATAAGAGGGCGACAAGCCTTTGCCGACTTGCTCATGCTGATGGAGCGCGACCGACTTAGGGAGCTTGACTCCTTATCCGAGCGCCGAGCAGTTTCTCAGTTCTCGCACAAAGGCCGTATTCAGGTAAAAAAATTAGAATAATTCATCCTCTTAGTCAAGTGGTGCAATCCCTATATTATTCGTGGAAAGTAACAAAAAGTGGAGCGTGGTCACATGTTTAATCTCTGTCTGGTCCCCTGAAATTTGCATAAGTCTGTTAATTCATCGCAATGCTAATTCTACGTGCAGTCAATGCTCAAGCTTAGATTTTTGCAACGCGGCATGGCGGACCGCGATCGACAGCGCCTCATTTTGGGAGCCTTTGGAGGGAATTCCTCACCTCATAATAGTTCAGCTATCATGCATCTCAGGTATAGCCTTTTAGAAAGCTTTCTTCTTCTGTCAGATTACTAGCAATAATCTTGTACTTTGTTATAGAAGGAAAAGTGAGCCAAAAAGGGGAAATGATCTAAGAACGTGTGATTTCTAGTGCAACTTCAAATAAATGTTTGGCTCATCAGAAGAGAGCCCATATGCTAATGATATATTGATGGGCTAGTGGCTGACGATAAATTGACATTGTATATATAGACATCAACTCCAAAGCGATTGTGCCAATCATCTTTTTGTTTAATGAGACCTGTAATTAACATAGCTTCTATATTAGCATTTGCCAAGCACGACGAAAGAATTAGGACATCTTGGTTCTGGATGTGCCAAAATGATGATAAAAATTGCATTTTGGAAGATTCCACTTGGCAAAGAGATTCTAACATGCTTAGGACATCATTCTGTTTGTATTAACCTGTAATCTCTAATAAAACAGGGAAAGATTTAGCACGGCCATGGAGCATGACTTGGGAGATCAGAATCACCCAGTTGAGCCAAGAAGCTCTCCTCGGCACCCACTTTCGAAGAACTCCGGCACTGCAAACACACAGTGTCGGACTAGTCATCATCAGGAAGATAATGCTAATACGATTGAGCACTCGTGTGCTCTCCCAATTCCTTCATCAGCACACTCTATCGAAGATCTTCATGATGAGGCTAGTCCAACTTCGAATGCCATATCAAAGCACTCGTGTGCTCTCCCAGTTCCTTCATCAGCACACTCTATTGAAGATCTTCATGATGAGGCTAGTCCAACTTCGAATGCCATATCAAAGCACTCGTGTGCTCTCCCAGTTCCTTCATCAGCACACTCTATTGAAGATCTTCATGATGAGGCTAGTCCAACTTCGAATGCCATATCAAAGCACTCGTGTGCTCTCCCAGTTCCTTCATCAGCACACTCTATTGAAGATCTTCATGATGAGGCTAGTCCAACTTCGAATGCCATATCTGAAGATGATACAAGCCTTGGGAGTAGCAACAGCAATCTTGAATTAGAACATCCAACTGAAGCGTCCAGAGCTCTCCGTGAACAGGCAAGTCAAGCTCTGACTGTCATATGCGAAGATAATAGAAGGGTCGAGAATAGCAACAGCAATCTTGAAATACAACAAACGACTGCTGTGTTCTCACCTCTCCATGAAGTAGCCAGTCCAACTTCGGATGTCATGGCCCAAGCTACAAGCTCTGATGCTAGAAATGGCAACAATCTTGAATTACAACAACCCACAGATGCATTATCATCTCTACATGAAGAGGCAGCTCCGCCTCCGAGTGTCATAAGTCAAGGTACAAGCTTTGAGGGTTGCAACAGAAATAATGTTCAACCACAAGCAGCAACAGACACATTATCATCTTTAAGTGTCTGGTATGAAGATGACATTACGGAGGAGCAAGATGCTGATAATGCCAACGAAGAGGAAGAATGGTACAGAGAACGTGGAGGCACTTATGACTGGTTCAGGGATATAAGTCGTCCACGAAGTTATTGGGAGGACCGAAGGCAAGAATGGTACAGAGAGATGCTTGAAACAAACTCCGTAAATGAGGAAATCCGCCAACTTATCGAGAGGTACACCATTAGGACTACTTTTCCACCTTTTTTTTCAACTTAATCTAATTTTGCCATTCTTACAAAGACCAGATGTGCTTCTTAAGATATTTGAATTGCATTGCAATCTATGGATAGGATGGATACTGAAAGATAAGCCTTCTTGACAAGCAAGACATAAAGCAAGAATTAGCACATGCATTAGACATTTGGGAAGAGCCAAATACCAAGCATTTGACTATCCATTGATTGCTGTATTACATATAACATATATTGTCTCGCATCTCCACCACAGAAAGCATGTGATTAAACTAAGGGACCTCTTGCCTGAACAATCAATTGTCTTCTGTGCTTTTCTTGATGCACCATGAATGGCTGGTGCTGTCCTTCTGAACTCACACAGGATGAGAGAGTAAATTGTAGATTTTTCGTGGGAGTTAATCCATGATAAATGTGAATTTTGTATGCAAAATTTTGCGAGGCACAAGTTTGATCTATTAAATCATTGGTTCAGGGGCAGAGTTTCCAGTTTCTTGTCTAGTGACTTCCGGGAGAGAATGGACGCGTTGATGACATCTCACTTCCAGAGACAAACCCAACCATTAGGTCACCAAGAAGAAGAGCAAGATGATTTAAGCAGTCAAGAGAGAATGGAACAATTAATGTCATCCTTGTTACAAGGCCATGAACATCCAGTTGGCAACCAACAAGGGGAAGAAGAGCGTAACGAACTGGGACAACAAGAAGAAGAGCAGGAAGAGGGGAATGCACCAGAAGATGACGAACAAGAATATATCATTGAGGATGAGGAGGATGACGATAATGACGATGAAGGGGAGGAGATAGAGGAGGAGGACGATGATGAAGAAATGGAGGATGACGAAGAAGTGGAAGGACAAGAGGAGGAGGAGGACGATGAGGAGAGAGGAAGCCTAATTGGGCATCAGTATCATGAAGCGAGCGATTATTTTGATCATTCCACATCTTCATTCCACATGCCTTCTCAATCTCTGAGATCGTGGAGTTACAATGATAATGAAATGAATGACGACCATGAACAAGTTGCTTCTACGTCATCCGAGCAACCTCCACCATCTCATTCCTACTACGAGGATCCTCAGCAGCATTCTACCTGTATGGATAACCTTTCGATGGTGAGTCTTTATGCCGTAATCCTTCCTTCTGATGTCTGTCTGCTTCTTAAATCTGTGCTCAATGAACGTCATACTACTGGAATTGTAGGAAATGGAACTTATAATCGATCTGAGAGGACAAATGAGGCAACTCCAACGTGAGATGTCCGAGCTCAGGAAATCAATAAAAGGCTGCATGGAGATGCAGGTGACATTGCAAGACTCCATGAAACAGGAGATGAGTTCTGGTGAGTTGATAAATCCAATCTGTTCACTGTCATATTATTACTGCATTGTTGATGGCCTCGTTACTTTGCCATTATCTACTAGAAGGAAAACACTGATTTCGAATGGTTCAGTTCTGATACATGCTGACTGTACCTCCCTCCCTCTTCCTCCCCTTCCCCTCTCTCTCCCCGCCGCCCCCCCCCTTCCCTCCTCTCTCTCTCTCGTAAAGTTGACCTAAACAAACTGTACTTGGCATGAAAAGATGGATTGTGGAAGCAGCTACTTTCCAATGGCCACTGATGTGACATATATTGTGGTCAGTGGAAGTTGAAACTGCTATTGCCATAGTAGTACCAGACTGCATAAAAAATGCAAATTCTGAATGGACTGTTCCATTGCCAATTTAGTGGAGTAACATGATTTTATTGCTAGAAATGGTTAGCTGCATTGTACTCTCCAAAGAGTGTATTGCAATGCAGGAGAAACTCTTGATCTGCTCTTACCTCAAATATATACACAATGCTGTCAGATTGGTAATGTTCTCTTTCTCAATATGTCTAATGAATGAATTTGAATCAATTTTTGCGGTTCGAGGTGATGCAGCGAAGTCAGTAGACAAAGTACCCAGAAAAGGGAATTGTTGCGTCTGCTATGAGAAGCAAGTGGACTCGCTACTTTACAGGTACTTATCTTTTATTAGATTATCTTAGTTGCTCCTCCTCTTTGCTCCTCTTTGTAACTGCCACATAGGTTCAGAGATTTTACACCTAACCCAACTCAATTATCTACATGCCATTCAGATGTGGGCACATGTGCGCCTGTCTCAAGTGTGCCCATGAAATGCAATGGAGCAGCGGGAAATGTCCAATATGTCGAGCTCCCATAGTGGATGTTGTGAGGGCGTACACAGATTCATAGAAGGTGTGTTGATCGAGTTCTTGCTTCAGAGGACCGTCTCAATTCGTGCCAGTAACCTCGATGAAGGTTGAATCAGGAGACGTAATTGATGAATATCCAAGTGGAATTTTTGTATGCGGGAGATACTAATCTTTGTACATGCTGACTATAGGATCGGAATTCACTTGACATTTGGATGTATGGGCGGTGTATATTGTTTTGATGAGCTAGGCTACCTAACAAAATCAGCAATTTCTCTGTGATAACAACTTTAAGAGAATTACCTTCAGACATCAGACTGGATGATTCTGTCCAAAATAGGAATAATGCATGGCAATGGTTATGGAAGACTGATGTTTTTTTTACCTGAAAAGAAAAGGTGGATTGTGGTCGGCACAAATTCTTGCTCCAAGATCTAACATCAACTACTGCAACTGTGAACTTGGAAGCCTGTTTATGTTGAATTGTTTCTTCTTTAATAAGCTGATGGCAATATGAACTTTTAAGGGCTTGTCCAAAGGAATGAAACTTGACCTATATCAGTGGCAAACTGTTCTACATGCGGTGCCTTTACAGCTTTTGAGCAAATTCTGCCCATTCTCTTGTTTGGATTTCTGTTCAACTGTTTCAGTTGCAATTATGCCCCCTCTAATCTTTAGTATTCTGTGATTCCACCAACCAAAGCATCAGCGTACTAGTAGTTCTGCTGTTGAATTCTTGAGTCCCCATAAAATAGCAACAGTGCTATAAGACATTATAGTCCACAAAAATTAGTGTGGAGCATCTTCCGTAATCAAACCTCTTAGTTTTCAGGTAGACCATCAAATTGCTCTAATGCTGTTCATAAGGGTTGCTATGGTGAATGTGAAAGAGACAATTCACTTCCGTAGATGCGTGAAATTTTCATGGCATAACTTTATTTGGCAAATTTGTTTGTAGAAGCATATGCTCATACTCATAGAGCATGTAGTGCTACATGCTGCGCATAAGCATGCCCACAGTGACCACTCCATTGGTGATTCCACTGCTGATAGTTTTGTTTTGTGATACTCGATGTAAGTTATTGTTCTTCTAATCATTTGTGTCAGTCATCACTAAACATTTCTTAAATGACTTCCTTTTTATTTCTTAAAGTCTAACTGCAATATATCGACAGTCTACACTACACTACATATAGGATACAAGTAGCTTAGTTTCACTGTCGCTATTTCCTTATCGTGAGGTTCTCAAATTGAATTATTTAAATGTTGCAAGCATTAAGTGTTCGATTGAAATTTTACCCTCGGAAGATTCTTTGTGGTTATACTAGTGCTGCTTTTCAGTCCTTTTTGTATGATCGCTTTTGGTCCATGGGAAAGAAAATCCTACAAGCTTGTTCATACAAATCTTTCGGCGATGTAGAACACTATTTGACTTAAAAACAGATGAAACTATGGTAGCCAGAAAAGAATTTTTATGACCATAGCTTGAGCATATTGAATGCAGATGATAATTACGCAAAGCGTATAGGATATATCTGTGTCACAGTTAATATTCATCTAATTTGGTGGGCTTTCAATTGTCCCTTACTGCCAAATAAATTCTTGTACTGTCATATTGTTGTTAACACAGATATGATCTAAGATGAATGACAACAATGTTTCATATTAAATTACATAAATCCCTTGACTAGAAGATAGTTTGGCGTTGCAAAAGGCAGGAATTCAGCAAGTCATTACAATGAAGTCATGATCAAAACTTGGGGGGTGGGGGCATTTTTCGTGATGGATACTCTTGCTCCCCTTTAATTACTTTCACAAGATCGATTATTGCAACTCTTAGTTGACAATTGACACTACCCATTGATGATTATCTTGATTACTAGATTTTCATCGCAGTTATCATTGCAAAATGACAATACAGGCGCTCGGATATATCTCCGGAGATTTCTTTTCCGAGGTGACCCGTTTTTGTTAGATTTGGCCATTGCAGTTTTTGTTTGGTTTATGTGAAGATATTATTAGGCAATTCTGTTTTGCCAAATTATGAAGCAATACTTGCAGCATTTTGCAGGAGGGGCAGTCAACAAATTCCAAGCGGACGGACAAGTCTCAAATATAATGTAGGGCTAGTGGATTCTGGACTGTGCAGGGGCTGTGAACGAAATAATTTTTCTGTTGGAACATCTCAAAGATGGGTGCAATTTAAATCCTCTGCCACCTGAGACATAAAGTCCAAAAGTAGCTGAGGAATATAACTTTGGAACAGGAACAGCTAAGTTGAAATTGATGATATACACATAGATAGATTGATAGATAGATGTTCTGTTTCTAGTTACTGAAAAAGCGCATGTGGAAGTGGACTAGCATATTGTCAGATCATTCCTACAATCTGGAACGGTTGTCTTCTTCCATTGCTAGATCTGAGTACGTACGTACTGTAACGCACGTGAATGGTTTCTTTGTTGGATACTTTTCTCTTTTAAGACATTGTTTGCACGTACTGCTATACATTAATCTCCCAGTCATGAACCATCGAATGCAAAATCAGACCTAGCAAAGCATATCATGTGCGATATCGTCTTGAACTTGGGACGTCAAAAGAGAGTAACTTGCCCGGGATGATGTTATTTCGACGCTATAAGGCAGCTCGGTGTCCAAGGAGATTGTTTATATGCATAAAATCGAAGTTTATCGACAAGCTAAAAACGCATGAAGGTAAGGATGATAAATTGGACGAGCTCCAAATCGCATGCGCTTTTTAGTAGATGAGGCTGTGGAAAGAGGCATGTGGGTTTGTCCATAAAGTTGGATGAATGAGCAAGAGGGGCCAACTGGGTCATAATAATTCATGAAGCAGTGGGCAACTCCATGACAAGGAAAGATGCATCGCTTCGACCTTCCCAAACTCCAACACACCATTATTATTGTCATGTGCTGCGTCTTTAAATTGCTGATCGCAAAGCCTATCATATGACACTGATTGCTGCTTCTAAAAAAGCCGGCATCCCACGATCTCGCTGGTTTTATAATTGATTAAAGTAGGAAAATATGCACGCCTTTACACGAATCAAACTACTACAAACTGCGACGCATGGAAAAATTTCCCGAGCATGACATTAGTTCGACTCTTGTTTACGAATCTACTTTTTTTGAGAGCGGGGATCTACATTTCAAGAACTTATCGTAGCTTCTCGTAGAATACTGGCACAGAAATGGCACTAGTATTGTTGAGTGAACTGGAAAAAATCCTGTTGGACCCATTGCAAAGTGCTGTTGGAAACGACACCAACAAGTGAGTAAATGAGGGCTTGATTTAGTTCATGTTTTTATTTCACATTGATAAGAAACACACTGAACCATAGGTAGCCAACCCTTGGGCAATGAATGATGAATCCTGGATGATGAGCATGGTCATGATGAGTCATGACAAAATTGCACCATTATCTGATCTCCAATCCTGAATTTGGTCCCTCATATCAACCTCCCCCGATTCTATGGACCAGAAAATTGTAAGCTCCAGAAAGCACTTGCCACTGGACATCTGATCAACTTGTCCATGTACTACTACTGGAGTTGGTTTTATTTGATTAGTTGAGCAACTTTTTCTATTGCCCCTTTTTGTTTTTTTTTAACAAACTCACAAGCCCAAATGCTGGCTCCAGCTACTTAATTGTCTGAACAGTTGTTAATATTTTAAAAGTGATTGTAGTAGTGCCAGCACAGACAGAGTAAGAAGAAGCAGGCAAAGCAAAACGACTTGTCTCTGTCTTTCTTGGTGTTGGACAAGCAAGAAAGATGAAGTTCATGGCCCAACTTGGGATTAGGAATTGGTGTCCTGCACACTTCACTTAGTGTAGAAAGAGGGTCCAACTCAGAGCTGGCACTGGCACCACCATCACTCTGCCCCCACTCTTCCTTTTCTTTCTCCCTTCACAAAAGCTCATCAAACATGCCCTCAGATTCCACTCTCCATGAGGGCAATGGCATTTGTAGGCCCTTGTCATTTTCGTCATCCTCCTCTCGACTGTGATTGGCCATGTCCACTGTGTCTACCATAGCATTGCTCTACCCAACATCTTCTTTTTGGGTACAATAGGTGTATCGTTACGTCGAACTCTTGAAGAAGATTTGACGTCCCTTCTTCCCTACCATGTTCCTACTTGTCCAAACCTGTCCAATCCACATTTATAAAAACACATCAAACTCCTCCTAAACCCCTCAGCAAGACCCTTCCTTTTACCTCTCCAATTCAGTCCCTCCTTACATTTCGAACCTGAAAAGCAAGAACCCACGGAATGTGCTCCTTCAAGACGAAAGTCCACCAGGCCCCGGCTATCGCACGGACCAATGGGCGTCCTATCCTCCAGCAGCATCCTTGCAACCAAATTCCCTCTCCCGAGCGACGTAATTCGCTTGCCAAGAAGCCGCTGCCCCCGAGATCCCCTCCGCAACTGCCCTACTCCACGGCAGATTCACCAAATGACCCTAGTCTTATTCATCTTGCTCCTACTGATTATGCTAAGCCAGCATTGACCCCTCCTATTTCTCCTAAGAAAAAAATGCCAAGAATCTCAACTTCGAAAAGAGGAAATGATCCGACAACTGCATCTTCTGCCATGCCCAGTCCTGGCAAGGTTTTGGCTCCGCAATACACGACCAGGTCGACGAACAAATCGGTCGGTCAAGCACTACCTCCTAGTCCTGACACATCGTTGACCAGATCATTTTCGGGCCCCCCTGGTAGCATCGCAGCTGCTAGGAAAGAACAAATTGCTTCGTTGCAGGAGCAGAGGAAGCTGAAGACTGCCCATTACGGAAGAGTTAAGCCTTTCAAGCGCGGGGGCAAAGTCGTTCCGCTCAACCCCTCTTCTGCTCTAGCTGTTGCCAACCGCGAGGAGAAAAGATGTAGCTTCATTACAGCTAGTTCAGGTATAGAAAAAGCTCTCAAAAGAAACCCGACTACTAGTATAGCTTCATAACTTGTCTGGATAAAGTGCTGATATGTCGTTTCTCCCTGGGCGATGCCTGTGCAGATCGTATCTATGTTGCTTACCATGATCAAGAATGGGGAGTGCCCGTCCATGATGACAGGTAATATCTCCCTCCCTCACTCTGCCTCTTTTCAAGTGTCTGTTTGTGCGTGCACCCATCAAGTGCTTAGACCTTGAATCGGATTGTGACATGCAGAAACCTGTTCGAGTTATTGGTACTGAGTGGAGCTCAAGTAGGATCAGACTGGACTTCAGTCTTGAAGAAACGTCCAGTGCTGAGGTAATGCGAAATTGCTGAGATCTACTTTATGTGAGATTTGTTCTGGAGATATATGCTTAAATGGGCAATTGGGACCTTCACTTTGCAGGGAAGCTTTCTCAGGATTTGATGCAGAAATTGTGGCCCAATACTCTGAAAAGAAAATAACATCACTGAATAGTCTCTACGGCCTAGAGTTGAGCCAAATTCGGGGAGTCGTAGACAACTCCAAGCGAATTCTCGAGGTAATAACACGTTAGAGTCCTCCATTCGAAAACCTTGCTCTTTTTTCTTCCGCATTCCATTTCCCATTAGGATTTCAATCGTTTTCTGATTCTTAGAATTTTCAGCTGATCAGTGCATTACAAGTATTCGCCTATTAGCTCCTGATTTCATTTGTATGTTGTCCACACGCGATGACAGGTGACGAAGGAATGCGGATCTTTCGACAAGTACGTGTGGGGGTTCGTGAATCACAAGCCGATTGCCACGGAGTACAAGACATGTCAGAGGATACCGGTGAAAACATCAAAATCAGAGACGATGAGCAAAGACATGGTGAGGAGAGGGTTCAGATATGTCGGCCCGACCATCGTGCACTCGTTCATGCAAGCCGCTGGCCTCACCAATGATCACTTGATTTCTTGCCCACGACGCCTCCAACTCCAGTGCCATTAGTTACAAATATTAACTCTTCCATGCAGCCATAAATACTAAGAAAGAAGAAGGCATTGGAAGGACCCTGACAAAGGTGGAGCAAGATGAGTGAATAATAGTGCATGAGCATCACACAAGCGAGCGACAGAAGAGGAAACAAAGAAGATGACAGGTTGGATGGACCTGTATTTGCACCTGCTCTGTTCAAATCCCTTAGAGCTTGATCAATTAAATGACTGTCGATTTGCTTTTCTGTTTTTTCCCTCCTTGAAAAGAGGAAGCGAACTTTGTTTTGGGTGTTTAAGTTGTGAGGAGGAAGAAAAGGGAATGCTTTCTAGGGTTAGATGAGAAGAGGAAGGAAAAGAAAAGGAAGAGAACTTATCATTTTGTGTTTGGCAGTGGGGGCATAAAGAAAACCATGTAATGTGATGTAACGTAATGTAATGAAGCAGATAAGTTGAAAACCATTACTTCGTAGTCTGGACGTGATACATTTACGTTGTTATCGATTCTTTCATTATACGCAGAAGATGCGGCAACTGCAAAGAAGAAAAAGACCAGATAATGCACATATCCTGGGCAGCTATCTCACGCGATCCAATTCGAAGACATCTCCATGTAGCAATTGCTTTCAAGCATTACTTTGGAGAGGTACGTTATGTTTCGCTCGAGTCTATCTTGACCCAAAATCAGTGACCTTAAAGAAAAGGACAGAATTGCTAGAGCCCCTTTTCCATCAAGTAGACACCCGATGGAATAGGCAAAACAAATGAGATAATACTAGGTTTCTACACCAGACTATGTATGTTAAGCATCCAGGGTGTGCCGCAATTCCCTATTTTTTCACATGTAGAGCACATTACTGTCTTCTGCTTATTTGCGGGTGGGGTGTGCTTGAAGCCAGATTCAGCAGGAACTCTTGTGGGGGAGACCCGCCAAATTCCACCAGTAATCACATGCAAGTTCATCGAATTGTTTTCGCTAAACCGAACCGGTCGCTTCGTTTAATTGTTTATTCATTCATTAATCTATCTACTGACGTAGGGTTCCTACTATCGGTGCGCGGTTTAGTACGGCTTGAGAATAGGGGGATCAAGAGTTGGCATGGTTGAATAAAAGAATCGAGAGAGTTGGGGGGGCAAAGAACTGTAAAAGCAAGTCCATAGTAGTAGTTGTCATCAGCTGAACCAAGACCCACCCACCCACCACCCTTCTTTCACGTGATGGAATCTGAAAGACGGTCTGGTGCAGCACCAACACCAGAACAGAGTGTTGGGACATGAGAAAATGGCCTTTGCTCAGCTTGAAAAAGTTGAAATTTTGGAAGATGCAATGGGATCGAGAAGGGGGGTTTCCCCTTTTCCTGAGAGCAAAACAACATTGCCGGCCCAAACTCACTACATGGGTCGGGCTCTTCAAAGAATCATGTCACAGAGGTCGTCACAAAAGAAGAGCCTCGTTCACATCCTTGACACAGAAAACTGTTCTTTTCTTACTAAACAATTCGGGGATAACAGCGTAAATAATTCATGAACTTTAGTCCAGTGAGCAATATGGTCCCTAAATTTTTAATTTGTGCAATGTGGTCCCTACACTTTAACAATGTCTAATATCGCCACCAGACTTCATGTTCAATATAATCTCCAGATATATATGAAAATGTTTAAAAGTTCAAGATCACATTGAACATTGGATCAAAATTAAGAGACGTCATCGCCTGTTGGACCCAATTTCAAGAACGGCATTGTACAAATAAAAAGTTCAAAAATCACGTTGCACATTGAACCAAAATTCATGAACCATTTATGTCATATTCCCAACAATTGGAGAAGCAGTTGAGGAAAACGTTGTGATAACGGTAAAACAGGGGATTACATAAAGAGAGAGGGGGAGTTTGCCTTTACGTAATCAACGAGTGTCTGTTGAATGGCTGCTCTTTTTCAAACTTTTTTTGCATATATATTTGAACCAGGAATGGAGATTGCTTGGGCACATGAACTTGCTTGTTCATGAATCCTGGTACCATACGATATCACCTGATCAGCGACGGAAGGAGCATAGTCAACGACCATCAGCACATTTCTGCGTGGAAAATACAGGGAAAGTGTTGGTGTTGATTACGAAGGTGGACAGCCCATTGAAACGTGGGCAAGTGTCCGAGTAAACAGGGGAAGCTGAAAATTCGCTGGATTGCATATGCAGAATGCCCTGCTTTTCCCCCCCTTGAACATGTGCAACATTGGAAAACCCATCCCCCATTTGAAGGAATATTCTAACTCTAACATGGCACCCACCTGACTTTAATCTGCTCCGGGACTAACGGTTGCGTGTTCAGGAGAGCATTTGGAAAAATCCGACTTTAAATCTTTGCTAAACACTTATTCTGTAGACTTTGATATCCAATCTGAAAAAGTAATTTAAAAAGAAAAGGAAGATAAAGGCTGGATGAGCTTGCCCGAGGGCCGACCCAGCTCAAGCGATAGGTCCCTATGCCCTAGGCGGCTCTCGCCTGAGGTCCCGCGACGCCATGTCGAGGTCACGCAATCTTAGGCGAGGGCTGCTAGTGTCAGATCTGGCTCGTCGGCAATCAGATCTACGCTCATTGCCGACATTGCGCGATACCGATCATATCGAAGCAGGATAGTGAGGGCAAGGTTAAAATTGGAATTTAGATATTTTAGCGAGGGCAAAGTTAAAAGGACGGAAGGATCCATTTACCCCTGAAGTAGCATTCCGAAAAACTCTCCAAGCCAATGCCGGGCGAGACCTGCATTGGTCTAGAGTACTTTGAAAATGCCAACTTTGGTGCAAAAGCCTCCGGAATTGAGCAGCCAAACAGCTCTACTTTGACACAAAGAGCCTTTTAGAGAGTCCAAGAGGTCCTTTTGTGGAAAGCCCGAGCCCGAGCGCGCGCCCCCAAATGCTCATCTTGCCGATTCATACCATGTTCCCTTGCTATTTCCTTTTCGCACATAATAATTACATCAACATCAACCCAAGTGAGGGAAACGGCTACAAAGACGAGTGGCACGCGGAAAAAACAAAAAGGCGCACGCCGATTCCTAAAAGGCTTCAGCTTTCAGAACAATCGGCGATCGTCTCACAAAATCTCGCGCCGGCATATAGCATTACGGTGCATGAGGCTTGAAATCAACGACCAATCTGATAGAATTCTAGTCACTGGATTACAACTTTCATGTAAAACGCATCTCCTCCTCCTTCTCCTCCTCCTCCGTAGACAATAACGCCAAGAATCAGATGATGTGCGAGCCCCCCGTCCACGTGGCGGGTGACGAGCCACGTGTTACGAGGAGAGACAGCGATTGCCATGGGCCATCAACATGTCATTTAAAAAGCCCCGGTGGTGGGGACCACCCGCCCTCCTGCTTTGTCCCTTTTTGCATCCCAATCAAAGTAGACAGGGAGTCCGGCGTCGTTTTCTGCTTTCCACCTAATCCCAATAATGCCCCCCCTCCCTCCCTCCCTCCCTCCCTTTCTTTTATTTTTCCTTTTTTATTAACGGAAAAAAAGAAAAAGGAATGGCGAGGAACGATCGGCCAAAAGTATAGTTTCTTCGACACGTTACCGTAAGAGTCTCGCACCGACGAAGATGGCATGCCCAGCGGTCGATACCATCCACGTGCATCCGAGAGAGGCGGTGGATTGATCGGTGAGCGAGTTCGCCTTTCTCTTGGCGTACTCTGTCGGGACGACCGACATTGACAATTGTACTATTGCATAAGGCTTTACGCTCACAACAGATATTCGATTTGAGCCGTGGCTATAGCTCGTTAGAGCAAAAGAGTGTCGCCCGTCATTTGACTAGGGTGTCGGTGGAATGAGGCGAGAGCCGTTGTATGCTCGATCCAAGCCAAACCGACGATGTGGACGATTGAATTCTTAGTGAGAAACGAGCTGAGCTTGTGGCAAGGGAATACCCAAGTAGAGTAAGGTCTTCTTTTGAGCTAGTAGGCTAGCTGAGGTGGTGGTCCGCCCTTTGCCCTCTCGATGCCGCACCACAAACCATCTTCACACCAAAATGAGTACTAAAAAATAACTAGAAAAATATTTTTCCTAAAAAAAAAAAATTGACCGCCCGTACCGCTTGAAATAATTAATCGATGGAAAATAATTTTAATTATCCACATCAATTTATATTTGAACATCGTATTTTTCGCTTATTTATTTTCATAAGCGATATAAATAATCGTTTTAATTTTTGCGAGATGAACGGAAGGTTTTAAGGGGTTTGGATTTGGGTAACAAATCCAAGGAACATCATGTACCTAGTAGCTGTGCTTATGTCTGCATTACTTCTTTTGGAAAATTGGAAGCGATGGAAGTAGTGGAGTTTTGCATTGCATTTTTTTGCATTTAAAAGTTTCAAGGCATTCCCATTCCCTTTCCATTCCGTTCCATTCCGCCGCTCTCTCCCGTTTACCTTTCCTCCCTCCTCTTTCTATTTTCTCCTCCTCCTCCTCTTCCTCCTCTTCTCGCCACCGTCTCTCCGCCCGCCGCCGCCAGCCGCCGCCGCCCTCGGCACAGCCGGCGAGAGCCCGAAATGGGGAAGGACGGAGACAACAAGGCGGAGAGGGGCGCCGGCGCCGGCGCCGACAGGAAGATGTTCGTGGGCGTCGTGTGGAACTGCGCCACCGAGCTGAAGATCCTGCTCACCGCCCTCTTGGTCCTCTGCTCCGTCGCCACCGTCCTCCAGTTCTTCCCCCCTCGCTTCTCCCTCTCCTCCTCCGATCTCCGCCTCTGCATCTCCCGCATCTCCCCTCCCCTCTCCTCCCCCTCCTCCGCCGCCGCCGCTGCCGACGCCGCCGACGCTCCCCCGCCGCTCCGTCTCCCTCTCCCTCTTCCGCCGCCCCCGCCGCCGCCCCCCGCTGCGGATCGAGAGCAGGTCCTCGAGGGCGGCGTCGTCAAGCGGGCCTTCAACCCCTACGGCTCCGCCGCCTACAACTTCATCACCATGGGCTCCTACCGTGGCGGGCTCAACACGTTCGCCGTCGTCGGCCTCGCCTCCAAGCCCCTCCACGTCTACGCCAGGCCTTCTTACCAATGCCGGTGGGTCCCCCACCCGAACTCCACCTCCGCCTCCGCCGCCGCCTCCACCGCCGTCGGCTTCAAGATCCTCCCCGACTGGGGCTACGGCCACGTCTACACCGTCGTCGTCGTCAACTGCACCTTCCCCGACCCCGTCCTCAACGCCGACAACTCCGGCGGCAAGCTGCTCCTCCTCGCCTCCACCTCCGGCGGCAGCGACCGCAGCTTCAACTACACCGACACGATCGAAGTCCTCGCCGAGCCTCCCGGGAGCTTGGACCTGTCAATCTTCAGCTCCCAGCCCAAGTACGATTTCCTTTACTGTGGGTCGCCACTGTACGGCAACCTGAGCCCCCAGCGGGTGAGGGAGTGGATGGCCTTCCACGTGAGGCTCTTCGGCGGCAGGTCGCATTTCGTGATCTACGACGCCGGCGGGATCCACGAGGGGGTTCTCGAGGTGCTGCGGCCCTGGATGGAGCTTGGGTACGTGACGTTGCAGGACGTCAGGGACCAGGAGAGGTTCGACGGGTACTACCACAACCAGTTCTTGGTGGTGAATGACTGCTTGCACAGGTACAAATTCATGACCAAGTGGATGTTCTTCTTCGACGTGGACGAGTTCATCTACGTGCCTCCCAAGAACACGCTCCGGTCGGTGCTCGATTCACTGTCCGGGTACTCGCAGTTCACCATCGAGCAGATGCCGATGAGCAATAAGCTCTGTTTCGTCGACGAGGCCGGTGCCAGCAGGACATACAGGTACTTCCTTTTCTTATGCGTGTCCGGCCCTTTTTTTTTGGGCTTTTCTATAATTCGCATGTATGCGCATGAACTTGATTAATCGAGTGCCTTCATCATATTGAAAACGTCTGCAAGTGAAACATATTATTTTCACGAGTGGGACATTCATGTTCAGCCGAAACAACCGGTCCCTTGATGCTAAACATAGAGATGGTAATGATTTTCCCATGTGGGCAAAGCTTAAGATTAGATTAGAGGGCCGAAGCTAGACTCGGTTTGTTCCGTGGGAGATGTTAAATGTTAATTGAATTGAACTAAGAATTCTGACGATATCCCAGAGATTCATGAAGGGCATTGCTGTGAAGCGTGTCCGAGTATAAAGAAAGAGTCGTAAAGAGTCGTGCGTGTCTGTTTCGAGATGCGCTCGATCTTCGAGTACGCGTCGATTAAACAATGAATAATGAGATGCGCTTCTAGGGTGCCGGGGTGGTTGATTGATAGGTGCAGTTCTGTGCTTTACATCGAAGATGTCGTGTGGCGTATGCGTTTGGAGTTTATTTCATCGGCCCCCTGATGATGGCATTAGATTCGTGTCTTCTCTTCGTCGTATTGGGGGCAAGTGGAAGTGAGTTGGTGTATAGAGCTTTGTTCGCAAGTTAGCGTTTCTTATTCGGCGATGGGGACATCATGCATTTGTATATTGGGACATCACATTCGTCCGTTTATTCATGATACAATCTTTTAATATGCATCGAAAAGAGACCGCGGGAGGTAACTGTCAACGCAATCTCCGGCTCTATCGTAAGATGGTGTTGGCGCGTTAATGGCCTCTCGGTTGACAGCTCTGTTTTTCCTCCACAATGCTTGTGCCAAGAAGGAATCACTATAGGGACAAGGACGAGGGCCTAATTGTATTAGTCACTTGTTCGGTTTTAATTAATGAACCAGAGACAGTGGGGAAGAACACCTTTATTTGTGTCTCTTTTTGCTGAATGATTGGGCGAGTGATGGACGGCCAGTGTGGAGTGTCCTGCACAGAACAATGTGTGAACATGGGTGTTGTCTTGTGACGGTGTGCAGGAAATGGGGGTTCGAGAAGCTGGTGTACAGGGACGTGAAGAGGGGAATACGGAGGGACCGGAAGTACGCGCTGCAGCCGCGCAGCGTGTACGCGACCGGGGTGCACATGTCCCAGAACCTCAAGGGCAGGACCAACCACAAGACGGAGCGCCGGATCAAGTACTTCCACTACCACGGCACCATCGCGGAGCGACGCGAGCCGTGCCGGAACCTGGTGAACTCCACGGACCTCACCTTCGACCAGGTCCCCTACGTGCTGGACACCACGATGAGGGACGCGGGCGGCGCCGTGAAGAGGTTCGAGCTCAAGATGATCGGCGACCGGCTGCAGCGGACCCGGCAATGAGGTCCCTCTTTTGGGGGGGTGTTCCTGTTCAGTTGTGATTATTACATATCGTTTTGGTTTCCGTCTTTCTTTGATCATTCTGTGCCTTTTGTATTATACCGATTGTGCGGTGATGGGTATAGAGTCTTAGCAGTAGTAGGATTGATACAGGGTTTGGGGGAGGGGGGGTTTGGGGAGCTCATGATTCATGTCTTTACTTTTACTTATTCTTTTGTCCTTTTTCTTTTCGGGTTTGACACTCCCTTAAAGAGAAAGACAACATCAGTGATTAGATTAGAGAAGAGGCGGGGGGGGGGTCGGGTTGTGGGCCATTCTTTTGCATATTACAATACTATAAAATATATAATATAATATATATAAAAGAGAATGGGAGATGAACGTTTGTGGGTGGCTGATTGGGTTGTCGGTGCGGAGGGACCACCGTACACGGCGGATGGGCATGATGGACCAAGGTGGTGGTGGCGATGCTTTTCCCACCACCTCCTCCTCCTCCTCCTCCCTTTTTTGACGCTTTATTGTTTGGGGGGCATCTTTGATGACCCCGAGGTCGGCCAGGGATTGGAAATCGTATGACTGTTATATTATAACTTGAACCAAGAATCTTAGTACTTTGTTTATACGGTTCGATGTGGTGTCATCTGGGGACGGATGGATGGATTAGGGTTTTGACTGAGAGGAGGAGGCGGAGGAGGAGGAGGAGGAGGAGGGTGGTGGTGGTGACGGCGGCGGCTGGGGGAGTGGCGATGTGGGGCAGCTCTTGTCTGACATCAATCCCCCAAAAGAAAAGAAAGAAAGTAGAGAAAGGAAGAAAGAAAGTAGAGGGAGTTGGCTGGACGTCCCTTTCTGATTTCTTGTCATGATTGAAATCCCATGTGATTGTGTTTGTGATGGACGAAATTTGGCCGTCCCTTTTTTGGGTTTTTCTTTGGCCGCAGTGAAAAACGGCATAATTGATGATCGAATTTTAACTCAACGTATAATATGATTTTTGAATATTTAATTTATTTTATATGATCTCTAAATTTTAGTAAAATATGCAGTATCGTTATCGGATTTTTAATTTGTTTAATGTGATTTTTAAATTTTCGATATACATACAAATTGGTTCTAAATTATATGATGAAAAGTTGATATTGAATATTTTCGTATAATTAAAAAATTAATTTAAATATTTATAAAAAATTTAGAGATCATATTAAATAAATTAATAATTTTTGGGGGACGACATCGTACGTCCCGTCAAGATTCGAGAATTAAAATTAAAAGATTCAGAGGCCATTTTGCGTCATCAATCCTTGTCTGCATATACATTAATTATTCAAATAAAGAGATCGACGAAGCGCAATACGAGAGCTGTTTTTCCAATTGGGTTATAATGATGGCGTGTTGAGCTGGCCGGACCACCGTTGGGGAGGGAGGGAGGGAGGGAGGGGATAAAACAAATGAATGAATAAGGAGGAGAGTGTGTCCCACATCCCAAAAAGAAAGAAAGAGAGAGAGAGAGAGAGACCAGTCCCCAGTCTGTCTTCCCACATGTGAAAGAAGAAAGTCAGAATTGCCCGCCACCACCGCTCCGCTTCACGGGACTAAAAGCTCTTTCTTGATTTTTCAATTCCCATTTGGAGAGTTTTGGTTGGGGGGGGGGGAGGTGGCGGTGAAATCTTTCGTCTTCGTTTCATCTCCGACTTTTCTGCCATTTGAACATTCAATCTCTAGGGGTGGCTCTCCCGTCCCCCCCGTGATCCGTTAGCTTTACTTGCGCGAAAGATTCGAAGAAAAATTATCTTTTCGGTACTTAAACGACCGAAAACTGATCGATCTGCAAATGAACGTTTTTCGTAAACCGAAAACAACAAGGCTCTCCGTCCCATAATTTGTATTACTTACACAAAAGATTTTACACTTCTCAAAGCAACGTAGGGGTCGGGCATAATCCCCAACGAGATTAACAGAGGGGGGGCAAGAGCTAAGAGAGAGAGCTGAGAATCAACATTTCAGCTCCCGCACGCAAAAGACGACACGCTTTTTGGCCACATTCTAATCAACGGCATTGCCGCCTGTTCCCACTCCCAGACTCCCACGCGGTTTCGTTTGATTTTGTATGAGAAGAGAAAGGAAAAATGAAAAACACTGAGGAAAATTATTGAAAATGTCCACGTTAGCATCGGTCGTCTTACACCGTGCCACGTAGGACAGTAAGCGTCCATGTCAACAATTTCCAAGCAAAATTGACCAGATGAACTCAATTGACAAAGCATGAAAATATTTTAGTTAGGACTCAGTTAGCACAATTAAAAGGTTTTTGACTGAATTGGCAAAAGCGCGATAAGTTGATGATTTTTTTTGGTAATTTTCCCCAATTCAGTACCCAAAAGACAAACCATGGAAGAATTCAATCTTTAAACATGAAGCAAGTTGGAGGATTCGGTTGCAAAATCGACAAGTTCAGAGTTAGGGAATTGAGAATCCCTGAAATTGAGAGGACAAGAACTGCACTTTTGTCCTCTCGAGAAACATGCCGCGCCCCCTCCTTGACTTCAAATGAGATGTGCCTGCATCGCCGGAATCGATTCGAAAAGTGTAGATGAGCGAGCTCGGCGACCTTACGTGAAAAAAACAATTGAAGGGTCAAGCTAGGACCGAGTTTTTCTTTCTCTTTTATTGGATTGATGGGGACAACACTACTTCCACAGCCATTGTTGATTCAATACTAATAACGATAATAAGTCCCACTTAACAATTTGTCTTAATTTTTGATGACCAGGGCATCTCTTGTCCACCGTACCAAAACCCTTCAATCGAATGACATTCTTTATCTCATATTTCTAAACAAACGATTGAGGAGGCCAGCATGGGCTTTGGCAAATGAGAAGTTGCAGAACAAAATCTTTGGCCCAAATGTATACGTTGGCCTAGCACACCCAAAGTCAAAGAGATGCTGCACGCAGCATAGATAGATGCACGCGTTTGACGAAATCTGCTTTACATCCAGAGGGTCTCCTCTGTTGTTCATCTTGAAGATTGGTTATATATATGGCAATCATCTTGGGACAGCTTAGCTGATAGATTGTAGTACTCTTGCAAATGACAACCTTCTAACTCAGAAACTTTCATCGACTCTTCAAGAATTGCTTATCTGGACATGATACAAACCTTCATTCGACCATGCACAACCTAAAAAAACAAACGGAACAGACGTCTCATCACCAAAACTTTGTAATCCAAGGGAAGCTGGGGGTTTTACATACGATGGATCGTTCCGTCTCTGCATCTAGACACGATGACATCACGATTTCTCGATTCAAAAGTTACGACACAAACGTATTACATGCAGATGGATCATCGGACAGGAGATTCGCTAGTTTAGGTTTAGGAATGTGAGGAGCTGATGATAACTTTCAAGCACTCTGTGCTTCTAGGAAGGCATTGAAGTCCTCCCTCGCCTTGCGCAAGCGGGGCGTGATGCAAGAAGTCGGCGATTCAGGGTGCGAAGTCGGCGAAGACGTGGAGAACCGAACGTGCCGAGAGGACTCGTGCGACTTCCTGTTGGGCGCCCTCATCGAGCCGTTCTTCAAGACGCCCTTCCTCTCCTTGTCAAAGATGAAAGCCGCGGTTACCGGAGAATGCATGTCGTTGGCACCGCTCTGAATCATCTCTAGCGGCAGATCAAAGTAGAGGTTGGCGGAGTCTCCCGTTCCAGCTCCAGCTCCATCTTCATGGCTGATTTCGTTCACGTTGATAATGGGGGAAGCCCACGATCCGCATTCAAATTTCTCCAATGAAACAGTCCTAGAGATCACATAGTTGTTCTCCGCTGCTTGTGATAAATCCTTCTTCGATTTGACAGGCTTGGCCTTGCCAAACCCTGGAAGGAACAAGCACAGTGCCCCGCATTTGAACTCCTCCTGCCGACTTTCCTTCTCCCTCTTACCATCGCGGTCTTCGTTGCTCACAGTTATGGGGAAGTTGTTCTTGAGGTTCACATCTTGGTGACATTCGCTCTCGCTACTGTCACTGGTACAACTACTGTCACTAGTGCTAGAAGTCGTACCAGTAGCTTTAGCTTTAGCTTGGGTTGCCAGAAGATCAAAGTCTACGGAGGGTGGGATTGCTCTTCCTTCGCCGCATGACTTGCTCCTCCTGAACCTCCTCATCTCTTGTTGCATCGCGAGGTACGGGCTGAGCATCATGAGATGGTCGAAATCCAGTTGAGGAGGAGTATGTGCCTGACTTTCCTGCTGCACCCACTTCTTGTTCCTCTTCAGTAGATTACTAATGGATGGGAAGCGTGGCGATGTCGTGGCCGAGCTTGGGAGGCTGTGGCTGAGGAACTTGCTCTTGGCAGACGAGAGCGGGGGAAGAAGGCCGTGCCAACCGTTCGTCTTGATGGGCGGCAACGGTTTTGACCCGAAGAAGGCCGGCTCTTGCTGTAGGGAAATCGGGTCGACCCCGATTTGCTTTTCTTGGCGTGGGCTGCCTTTCTCTTTCGCGGTGGAGAAGGTAGGCTCGAGGTTGCTGTGATTGCCGAAATCGAAGAGATTTATCTGAATAATGTCGAACTTTTCTTGTGACGGTGGAGCATTGTTTCCATTGAGGGAGGAGGATGAGAGAATCATTCTGCCTCCAAGGATGAAGATGATTTCGCAGATGGGAGAGATTGTTTTAAAGGAGGGGATTGAGAAGAACGTGAGCGACATGTCCTCAGAGAATCCGACTCTTTTGACCCTTCAGCTTAACGTAGTGATTGCCATGTCCCGCACTCTTTCATGCCTGTATTTTGTATTGAAGATTATGCATGTGTGTCCACAACAACTGCGATACAAAACACCCAATAACTTCAATATTCTAAGAGGGAATCGCTGACTTTTGGTGCAATTTTGATTCCTAATTACAATGCCGAAATAATGTCGCCACTAAAATAAGAGGCTTGACTTTTATAACCACAACCTGATGATATGTTAGCTAACTCCACTCGGGAGTTATTCTCTCATAAGATTGTTGTAGCCCATATACTATATGGACTTTTACTAGGTCTATTGCCGGTGTGAAATATACTTTACCACTTCGTCATTGGATGATCAACATGTAGAACAGTTCAGTTATAAAACCAACTCCAAACACACATGTCACTCATCCAGCGCTAAATGTGTAAGTATTATCTATGTAATTTTCTCTTACTATGACAAAATTATGCAAGATCATCTGATTTGTTTATCATCATATGTGTAACTTATAACAATCAGTGTAGGTTTCTTATGCACCGAGTTGGTACTATGCACTTCTTCAATTCGACCAAAAGGATACAGAATACGGAGAAGAGCTTGTTTTATCAATCTCAAGTCATTTTTTACCTGGCTGCAAAGCCAAAACTGTCAATCTCTCTTCATGTCCTTTTTAACATTGCATTATGACGATTCTTTTTTGTTGAAATAGTTTATTATCAATAAATAATTAAGAAAAGAGATTGAATTTGACATGAAAAGAAATGAGTGTTGGATTTGAAAATAGATTTTAGTGACATGAAGAGAAGCTATGGTTGATCATGAAAAGCGGGGATGGTTCCAATAAGGAACCTATTTTCAAAAGATGCCTTGTTTGATTATCTATAAATAGGATCAAATCACACATTATTTAAAACAATAACAACTTTCTCTTCTTCATACTATCTCTTCTTCACATCATTCATCCTCTCTTCTTTTCTTTTCCCACACAAATTTGACAACACATTCAAGGTGAAATTCCAAGAGGAAAATTGAGTAATTGTTGAAATCATTTCTCCGTGTCTTCAGTGTATATCCTTGAGGTTGCAGCAATAATAGTGGAGGCAAATAATACCTTAAGGACAGTGATTATCATCACGCATCAAAACATCAAAAAACTATAATCTACTGCTCATATTTTCATCATCAATCAAATTTTCCCAACAATATTAAGATATTATTATCATAGAGATGGAGATAGTGACTGCATCAAGTGTTTGCAATTTTGACATATAAGTATTAATGAAACTTTTTTTGTGCTTATATGCTTGAGTCATCTTCGTTGCGGAATAATAGATTTTCTCATGTTGCTAGATTGCCTTGAAATATATGAATGAAAGCGGTATGATATCATGTGATAATCTGGATAAGAAGGATTGAGATATGTTTATAAGCAAAGATGATTAAGAAATCGTTCTCAAAGGTAGAAATATCTAATAAAGTACTTGAACTGGTGCATTATGATATTTAAGAATTAATGGGTATGGTAACTAGAGGTAGAAATCATTATTTTGTCGCATTTATTGATGATTGCTCTAGATATACTCTTGTTTACCTTATGAAATCAAAAGATCAATCTTTTGATGTGTTTAAGGTATATTAGGCTATAGTTGAAAATCAAAAGGATACAAAAATCAAAGTTTTGATAATGACCGGCGAGGAGAATAATTCTCATTAGATTTTTCTAGTGTTTTGTAAACAAAATGGTATTCTGCATCAAGTAAGTGCACCTTATACATCACAACATAATGGATTGGCACGAAAAGAAATTGAATTTGGTAGATATGGTTAATTACATGATCTTACAAGCAAAATTGGCAATCAATTTCTGGGGAGAAACACTTCGTACTACAATTCAGGTTCACCACAAAATTCCTTCAAAGAAATTTAAGATCTCTCCATATGAATTATAGAAAGAAAGGGTACCAAAAATCTAAAACTTTAAAATATGGGGATGCCTTTCGTATTATAGAATTCTTGATCCTAAGCAAACCAAATTAGGACCAAGGGCTTTAAGAAGTGTGTATGTTGGATATGCTAAGAATTCTAAACTTATCGATTATTAGATGTCAAATCTAATATTATTATGGAATTAAGATATGTTGAATTCTTGAACACAAACTTCTTAAAGATTCAAGTGATACCACAACATATTCACAAACACCAATTGATGCAAGCAATCCTTCATCAAGTAAAAAAAATTATTTGATTCTCCAAGTCAGCCAAGGAGAAGTCAAAGAGTGAAGAAAATGAAAAAATTTCGATGTTCATATGTAACTCTCCTGGTAGAAGGAGATAGGGAAAATGTAGCAGTTTCACTTGGAAGAAGATCCAAGAATGTTCAGTAAGGCAATGACAGATAAAGATGCATCATTTTGGAAAAAAAGCAATTTATAATGAAAAGAGGTGCTGAGGAAGAATTCTCAATGCTCTATCAGATTGTCTATATGAAATTTTTTTATCTTACATAAATCCTAGAGACATTTATAATGCCTTGGAGACCAAATACAATACTAAAAAACAAGGTATTAATAGATGTACTGCTTTGAAATATTTTGATACATATGTATCAGTTGCTCAAATAACATCCGTTAGAGTTCTATTAGCTATGACATCAATTTATAAATTGCATGTGCATCAAATGGATGTTAAAACAACTATTCTAAATGGTAAATTAGAAGATTGAGGTGTACAAGGAACAGCTTGTAGGTTTTATTCTACCCAAAAATGATAATAAGGCTTGCAAATTAAGGGTGCATTTGGCAACCGGCCGAATAGTAATTATTTCTATTCTTTTGTTCTCAGAATCAGTTTTAGAACAGAAATTCGTTTGGTAAATTTTTTGTTCCCGGGTACAAATTTAGAAAAATTTGTTCCTATAATTAGTGTTGGAACAGAATCAAGAAGCAAAAAAAAGTTGCTTCTTAATTCTGAGAACAAGAATAAAAAATGGAAAAGAAATTTTTCTTCTTCTTCTTCTTGGTTTTCTTCTTCTTTTTCCTGGCCTGTGGTTAGCCACCGACAATCGGCCACATGCCAGGGCAGGCGAGGGCTGGACCCTCACCACCTGGGCGAGGGTGGCTCGTGGCCCGGGCGAGGGCCGCCCTCACCGGATCTGGCGAGGGTGGAGGTAAGGGTCCAGCCCTCGCCGACCCTAGCCTGTGGCCGGTCGCCGGCACTAGGGACCTAGCCATGGCCAAGGAAGGGGGAGAAAGAAAAAAAAAGAGAAAAAAAAGAGAAAGAAATATTTAAAAAATTCAAAATATTAATAAAATACTATTAATAAAAAGAAAATTTGTGCAGTTACCAAACGTATTTCTGTTCTTTTTCTATTCCAATAATAGAAATTTTGGGTAGTTACCAAACACCTTCAAATGCTTAGAAATTATTCCCAAGCACGGAATCAAAAAGAATCATTTATGAACAGAAATTATTTCCGAGAATAGAATGGTTGTCAAATGCATCCTAAACATATCATTATGTAGTCTGAAGCAAGAACCAAAATAGTGGCTTGAAAAATTTGATCCGTTGATATTATCACATGGATTTAAGCATAACAATATTGATAAATGCATTTTTCATTATATGTAGATGATATGCTAATTGTTGGTAAAATTATGCATGGCATAAATGAAAATGATAAGTATCTATCTTCTCAGTTTAGAATGAAAATTTGGGAGAAGTGGATATAATTTTAGGCATCAAAGTGATCAAACATAGTGGGGTTCATGCTTTCCACTATGCGGAAAAATTTTCAAAAAATATCAGCATTTGGAAGTCTGATGTATGTTATGCATTGTACTAGACTTAATGTAGCCTTTATTATGTGTAAATTGTCCATATTTACTAATAATACTAGTACTATGCATTGAAAGGCCATAAGTAGAATTCTTAGTTACATAAAAATAACAGAAGATTATGGTCTATTTTATGAAAGACAACTAGTAGTACTAGAAGGATATTCAGATGCTAGTTGGAAAACTAGCACAATCGACAAAAAGTCAACATCTGGATGGGTTTTCTTGCTTGCAAATGGTGTAGTCTCTTGGGCATCAAAGAAGCAAACATGTATTTCGACCGAAAAAAAGAAGAAGCAAACATGTATAGCTTATTCAACAATGTATTTTGAATTTATAGCACGATCGACAGCCTATAAAAAGGCTTAATGACTACAAAATTTGCTATTTGATATAAAGTTGTGGCCACAACCAATATCAGCAATATCTTTATATTGTGATAGTGAGTCAACAATGTCTAAAGCATATAGTAAACTATACAGTGAAAAATCTAGACATATTAGTTTGCGACATGAGTATGTTTGACAATTAATTAATGATAGAATTATTTCAATAATTTATATTCGAACAAATAATAACTTGGCCAATTCATTCACTATGGGACTCTCGGGAGGTTTAGTTAGTAGTACTGCCAAAGGAATAGTTCTTTAGCCAAATGATAGTAGTTAAGCATAGTGAAAACCCAACTATACAATTTCTAACAAAAGTTTCAAAATTCAATGGGTAACAACAAGTTATTGTATCTTGACAATGATCGAGTACTAGGGCACAAGGTTAGTACTCATGGAAAGTTAGGAGCATGAGTGTAAGAAAGCAGTCTTAAGCACTATTTGTTTCGCAGAAAATGAATGATTTGGAAAAAAAATTCCTAAAAATGATCGTTTATATCGCTCACAATAACAAAAAAAAAATTCATCATCCACGGAATATTGAGGCAATTCATTATTTATTGCCTAATTATTTCAAGCAATATAAGTCATCATTTTTAGGAAAATATTTTCCAAATAATTTATTTTCCGTGAAACAAAAGAAGCCCTAATGAAGTCCCGATTTTAGCAAGGCAAGGCTAAGATAATAAGTTAGGAACTTCAACTATATGACCATAAGAAGTGGTGCCACTTCTAACAAAAGCTAGATGAACTTTTGTAAATATTCATGATCTAGGAGGAAGCACAAGGCCATAAAAGTTCTAAGGCACAGTAAATTTCTAATTGAATGTGTGTAAACTCATATGTGTGATAATTCAATTAACAAATGAAATCATGGTTCAAAATTTTATTTACCACTTATTTCATTATTGGAATTATTTACATTAGTTGAAGATTCAAATCTTAATTGATACCTTAATGTATGTATGGATTTATGTAAATTAGTACAAATAACAAACTAAGTAGATGATTGTTGAAATAGTTTTTTATCTATCCATAATTAAGAAAAGAGATTGAATTGGACATGAAAAAAAGTGATTGTTAGATATGAAATGAGATGTTATTGACATGAAGAGAAGTGATGGTTGATTATGAAAAGTGGTGATGGTATCTGTCTATAAATATGACCAAATCACACATTGTTCAAAACAACAACAACTTTATCTTCTTCACAAAATTTTCTCTTCTTCTCTTTTCTCACACTAGTTTGATAACACATTCAATGTGAAATTTCAATAGGAAAATTGAGTAATTGCTGAGCTTCTTTCATTTATATCCCGGAGGTATATTTGTTTTAAACCCGATAGCAACAATAGCGGCGACATATAATACTTGAGATAGTGATCATCATTATGCATTAAAGCATCAAAGAACAATAAACTATTGCTCGTATCTTTATCATCAATCAAATTTTCCCAACATTATTCATTCTTATTCATCATTTTTTTCTGTTCTTATTCATTTCTCCTTTAGTCTTGCTTGCACGAGAAGCATACATAAGTTAATCGATAAGATACATAAGCTGATTTAAGATTCTCTATCACCTTTGGAAATAAGAGACAAAGATTAGTAGATAAAACACATATGTTTAATTTGATTGGTTACATTAGTTTTATAGGTCACCCATCAAGAAGATCTGTAAGATAATTAAGATACTCATTCAAAAATTTAATCGATAAGATACCTGAAAAGATGATGATGTGCTTTAATCTTGTGATTGCCTTTGTGAAGAATAAGATAAACATAAAGAGATTCTTTCAAAAGTCAAAAGTTAATCGGGACGGAGCATCGAAGGATGGATTATTTACATTAGCTGTGGGAACAAGATGATATGCTGTCAAAACTTATCCATACGAAAATGACATTGTGCTTTGATTTGATGATATATGGGTCAAACCCAGTTCATGAAAAGTTACTCAGTTTGTAGTTAGACGGATGTTAACGTATTGGCCGCCCACATTAATGCATAAACCACTTAAAAAGAACCTTCTTTTATAGCCAAGGCATTTAATGAGAGGGATAAGAACTTAGGCTGTAAAAGAGGGGAGGGTGTTACTGTTCATTTCCTTCTTCTGCAGGCTGAGTAGATGGAAAGGTGGTCTGCTCCAATTAATACAAAGGTAAACTTGGGTGAGCAAACGCACATCACTCCTCACTTTTTTTTCCTTCGCAATTGCTTTGCCAAGTCATAAAGGTGTCTCCTCGTGATGTAGTGCATCGAGTTTGTCATCATCTGAGAAGTTGTTTGGGACTGGCAATAATATTTTCACAGGCTGATGGAAAGAGGATCGTCACAGGGCACTGGAAGTGGAGGGGGAAACTGTTCGGAACTGGTGATTGAGGCGAGGGCAAGCGATGACAAGCATGCACTGGAAACGCTCACTTTGACATTTTGCAAGTTTTATTATGGTGGCCACAAAGATCATAAGCCTATTGACATGCTAGCTAATTATCCCTCAATTCAGTCCCCGGCTAATACCCGCACTGCTAATTACATTTTACCTAGCATTGGCGCAAAACAGTCACGGATCGACCTCATAGAGGGGGATAATACAACATTTGGTTTCACTAAACGCTGCCGCCGGATGCGACGTCCGGCGTCCGAGCCAAAGAAGCCATCTCCATGGCTTGACCAAGACAGTTACTAGGACTAGTGCTAGCAGTAGTAACGCTGGGCTTGTTTTCTGTTCCTTGGCGTTTGGTGTTCATCATGTGCATGCCATACACGTAGGAGCAGAAACCCCACATACACAGCACTGTGGACACGATCTTCACGCCCCCGAAGTCGTCCTGGTAGACCACCACCCCGGCCAACACGTTCAACGCCAGCAGCGCCGTCATGCACACCCCGCCGGTTAGCGACGACGTCATGAACACCATCCCCGCCGTCCCCATGAAGCACATCTGCCAGCACACCACGGTCATCGCCACCGTCGCGCAGTAAACCCTAGCCCCCCTGTCGAACACCCTCTCCCCCTCTCGCTTCATCTCCGCAAAACCACCATCTGCCACCATCCCCACCGTCGCTAGCGCTGTCGCCGCGATCTCCATCACCAGCTGCATTTCGATCACCATCGCATAGCAATACACTTTCTTGTATATCTTCTCCATGACGGGGAGATATAGTGCAAACAAGAGCCCGGCGCCTACGGTGGAGAGGAACCCTATGAAATACTTGGCCCGGGTCAGGCCTGGTGGCCGGTCGCGGCTCTCCGACAAGGCCAGGAGGACCGAGCTCAAGGTCAGGAGGATGACGCAATTGAGGTTAGAGAAGGTGATCTTTTGCTTGACGATGAGGACAGAGAGAATGAGATTGAACAAGAGTTGTGTGGAGAGGAGGAGCGAAGAAGTGGAGACGGGGAGGTAGGAGGTGCCCCAGGAGAAGAGGAGGTTGTTGATGCCGAGCATGAGGCCGACGAAGACGGACATGACCCAGAGCTTTCGGGTGAAGTGAGTGAATGGTCGTCTCTGGGTGCGCTTGAGGAAGTAAGGGACGTAAATAAAAGGGACTAGGAGAGGGAAGCCAGCACACTGAACCCATGTCGACACCCAACGGCTCGAGCCCTTGTGGATGAAGTAGTACTTGGCGAGGAGGCTGGACGAGACCGAGCCGACGAAGAGGCACAGCGCGCTGATCACCAGGAGAGGCACATAACCGTTGCCGGTCTTGTGCGGGCGGCCCTCGGAGGCGGCAAGCGAGAGCACCGACGAGTGTTCTTGCTTATGATCGGGAGTTTCCATGTCGTTGAGGGTCGGAGAGTGGTGGTGGTGATTGGGAGAGCTTCCTGGTTGCATTGAAACTGGGTTGAACACCCAGGAGACTCTCTGTAAGATCTTGGGGATGAATATGGTTAAAGAAACACAAATAATTTCTGTTTCACCTGGTTGTTTCAAGGATCTTAAATACCGTGCTTTTTGGCTCTCTCGCCTGAAAATTGTCAGGTACTCCCGACCTACGTAGGCCCACTTCCGACTACCCAGAGCTTTACGTAAGGCACCAGATTGTTTTCCTAAAAAGATCGCTCTAAAAATCGAATTGTTATGGAAAGGAGGAATGCCCAGTTGAGCATTGAAAGCCGTAGATGATTAGGGACCGGGTAAAGCATTTTAATTTTTTCCCTGTTCAAATGAAAGAACAGGATCTGCTTTATTCAAATCAAAATGCAAACGATAATTTGAACTGGGGTTGTCTTTTTTAACAGGGATGGTAGGTGCACTTAGGGGGAAGTGGAGGGGAGTAAATGACCTCCCATTGATTACTCTCACTTCATCCCTGTCCGGTGAAATAAAAATCCGAGGCAAAGAAAGGAAAATGGGCTGGAAAAAGGGACAATTAATGAGTTCCTCGTCTGAGATAACCTTTCGAGAAACAGGAGTTTCCCGAATATAGGATTCGACAGAGCTGGGAAGATCACAGTAAAATGAGAAATGGCAAAAGAGGGGTCAATTACTGCACCCCGCAGATTCATGGAAACAGCACAGGAACAGACCAGAACGTAGCCGAGATACAAATGGCAGAGAGACAGAGAGACAGAGAGAGAGCATTCTTGGAACGGCTATTATGACCGCTTCCACGTGTCCTACACTACTCCTACCAACGTGAGAGGCAGTTCTGGTTTTGGTTGGCATCGCATTGCACGGCACATGAGTTTCCTGAACATAGGAGCCTGTAAAATTTCGGGTTACTTCCCCTTTTTCAATCTTTCATCTCCCACCTCCTGGGACAGGGGACTGTTCCTAGAATCGACTGGGAATTCATAGACAGAAAACTACGCTCCACCGGTCTCTCTAGTTTGTGCTCCACGCTTGTTTCCAAGGACCTCAGTACTCGATCCGGATTATCGCGGATAGACACTCGCCTTGACCGACAGAATGATTCTTGAGGACTGTAGAAAGGGAATGATTGCGAATGGACATCCCCATGTTTGATTGTCAGTCACAGAACTACCCACGCACGGAAGATGCCGAGGGTTCAACGATTTGATAGACGTCCAACAGTTCTTTTTAACAGTCCTTGACCTATCTCGAATATCATGTCATCAGTTGAGGTTGTATGTAACTGCTGTTTTCGCATTTAGCTGGACGGACATTAGAAATCATGAATAAAGTGGAGGAAGTAGTGTAGGTGATCGCTGGGTTGGAAGCGTAAGAGTCGTGACGTGATACTTAAGCACGTAAACTAAAGCAAAACAAGAAAGTCCTCTGCTTTAAGAGGATGTAATGCATTGATAATGTGCATCTACTCACGAACAGGCTATTATGGATAAAAAGAGGTAAAGTCTCAAAAGACCAGCGACAAGAACGATAAATACGAAATTGGCTTTAGAACAAGCTTAGAAAAATCTAAATTCAGGCATGAGAATTAGGGGGAATGCATAACTGATCTCATATTTCACTATCACTTTGTTGATAACAATTGCTTGATGTAGTTTAAGGTTCAAGGTTGCTGGATTGACACCATGTTGATTGTGCATAAAACTGTTAATTCAAGTCGAATAGAGAAGCATTTTCATACAAAGGTTCCCGCCACGCAACCAATAAACCAGCTTCGTTATGATCCCATATGACCCAGATTTTGCAATTTGAACAGAGAAACCACCCCAGCAACAAAAGCAATGGAATCACAAACAGCTGCAATGTTCCTACATGCAGATAGGCTATGCCTCAATTACCAAAAGGTCAGATAAGGACTTCATCCCCCACAAAGCCAATATAGAACCAGCAACCCTCAAATAGTCCAGTGAACAAACCTACAAGCTCCCCAACCATGAACAACCAACCAAAAATTATACTTAATCTTATTGCCACATTTGGCTAATTTACCCTGATTAGAAGCGTATAGAAGTGTTTCAATAGTGACAAAAATATGCCAAGCAATACCGGACAAAAATAGGGCTACTGGTCTATTTCTTTTGTTAAGTAAAGAGAATCAACTGGTTAACAGTATTGAAAGGGAATTGAAATGCAAACAATATAAGTACATAATAGCAACCAACTCCAAAGATTTTTCTCTATCTAATATGATACAACTGTTTACAATATTTGGCATGTACATGCAGACAGTTACCAAAGAAATGGTCTTCTGGTGGTTCAGATGCACATCATCTTGAATTTCAATCCAGAATCTTAACTTCATGAATGGGAATTAGCATGTGCCTCTTTAAGGCTCTGGAAAATAATAGGATTCATTTAATGGTATAAATATACACTCTTTTTGGTAAAACAAAAAAACAAGAAATTTAGACTAACCAGTCGTTTGAAGGATCTGTTATTTGCTAGATTCTTGGATTTTTCAACATCAGGTTTGGCACGGTCCAAGGCCTGGCAAAACAATGTCTACTATGAGTAACAATCACATCAAATTATGCTTCCAGGATATACCGTGATCACTACTATCCAAACTCTAAGAAATGAATTAGCATGTCAAAAGCAATGAAGATGCAGCTCAAGAACTACTAGCAGCAACACTGCTTTCTTTTAACCGTTCCATTACAGGAAGAGAGATATTGTCAATACAAGGAAAGAGACTATGGCCACATTATAGTGCATACAATCCTCACAAAACCAGTAGTAGTTGTGTTCCATGGAAAGTCCTTAAAGTTGTCTGCAAACATAGCAGAAGAACCCAAATGGGCAGCTCGCTCTCTCTCTCTCTCTCTCTCTCTCTCTCTCAAGCATCTCTAAGGTAGCAAAATCCAAGGGATCAGAATTTCCACAGGGCATCTCTTAGGTAGAATAATCCAAGGGGATCAGAATTTCCACAGGGCACCCAATACTTAAAGTCAAAGATAAAAGATTGTATCCTCCCTCTTTGAATATGAACTTTATCATAAAATATTTTATCGTTACATTTGACATTAGAACCTAGAGGTGACATTGTATTGACAAACTGTCCAACTGGAATACCCATAGAACTTGGGAATAGCTTAAAACTGCAAACTGAATAGATTCGTATTAAACTAAAACCTTTTGAAAGGAAAGCTAATTAAAAAGAATCATCAAGTAGAAGAACATTACCTGTATCAATGACTCCACACGACGCCGCATACGGGTATGCATAAAGCCCTCTGAGCACTTGAATACATAACAAAGATATTGCAATGAAACGAATCAAACATCAGTTGATCATGTCAAATAATTTAGAAAAGGTAACTTAAAAATAAAGGCCTATACCTACACCATTTCTCAATTCTAGTGCAACTTTCGAATCTTATTATGGGAACTAAAACAATAGGTAAATCAGACCTAACCTCCTTGAGTTTGTTGTCACTAATTCTATGAAAAGCTACATTGTTGGACATTTTCTAAGGTTTTGATTGGCTGCATGGATATGGGATGCACAAATATTCAGGCCAATAGAGACTCAATCAGCTTATGGAAGATACAGTTGATTAAGTCTGTTAAAATAGGCTTTACATTGATTCAATTAAGAAGTTCTGTTGAAATATGAGGCACAGTGCAGCACAAATTAACGACATAGACAGACAAAGGTTATTTGAAGCCCTTATTTAAGTATACAAATCAGCATGTTTTTAAATGTTACTCACCTTAACATGATAGCTAACGTAGGCATGAAAAGTTGATAGACTTGAAACTGTACGGTCCAATTTTTTGCCTTCTACATGCCGAGGGAAAATGACTGCATTGCAGTACTTGTTATTATGTAATCAGTCAAAGGAATACGATCGGAAGAAACAAAAAATTATCAGTAATTACCAAAAGAAACAAACCCAGCATTTGCTGATAATGCTTCTGCAGGGGCTTTCTTTAGTTCCAAAGGAGGAGAAGAGGACCACAAACAAGGAGGTGCATTGTTAAGACCAGCAGTTCGCCTTGCTTGCACGAACTCCTGTGTAATTGTGATACAAGAGGTAAGGGCATTTAAACAAGCAACGGGATGTATTCCTATATCAGTGATGCCCGAGAAATGCAAGAGGAAAACCTGACTCTGCTAGCTCACTTGTCAATGAGAATGTCCTATGCATATAATGAGACAGCATAAGCTGGTACACTCAAAAAAGCTTGCAATACCTGAAGGAAAGATGTTGCGAGAACAGTATCTATGGAGTCCTTAAATCTCATTGGAAACACAACAATTACCTTCTCCATCTGAAAAATGACGTAAAAGAATCAACTGGCTAACCTTTAAACAAGTAAAACAAAAGACACCCATCTATTTAGCACCAAAGCTTTATTAGTAATTGCAAGAAGATTGACTTTCCAATGATGAGATTAACTAGATATAGCCGGGAGCATAAGATGGAAGAACAAGCAGGGAAAGAGATCGAAAGGGAAGAGGAAACAACATCTGCACTTGAAGATTAGTGCAGAGTCTAAGGTGTGAAAAGCATCATTGAAAAACAATTCAGACACAATATTGTATCTAATTAACAACTGAACATTGGAAGTGTACCTGCGGAATGACAAAAAATGACTCATTTGGCCGATGGACTAGGGCCACAAGTCGATCCATATCAGAAGAAATTGTCTTAGAGGTAAGATGCTTCAGTAATGCTCGCAACGGCGCACCTAATACTATTTCCCGGACAGATGCAATCTTAACCAGGAGAGCTTGTCTACGCTCTGCAGGATTATACAATAATAAGTGAAAGAAATATGCATTCAATGAAGCAACAATACTTCAAGCTCTGCCAACGAATAAACATGGAAGTTTGTCATCTTCCAAAGAAACAAATTAACTATAATTTTGACAACAGAAGATAAATCTGTTTAATGCAATGAGAAAAGGATGCTAGCTACTCAATGCATTTAAAGTAGTATATATTGAAATTAAAATCCATTATGCATACTGTAGTTTCTAAAAAGATGCTCTTCATGGTGATTTTCATGCAACAATGGGAAAATTATATTGCATAAAAGTGCCACAAACCAGGAAACAATGGAGATCATCTTAAAAGAAAAGGTCCCCACCCCTTACACCTACTTGACTCAATGTAGAAGTTGCATTAAGTAAAAATCTCATTGAACCCAGAGTCCAGATCCCCAATCTACACCAAAAAGACACTATGGGCGCGTTTGGTAACGCTTCTGTTTCTCTATTTTTCTGTTCTTCTGTTCCCTGGAACAAAAAAAGAACAGAAATCCGTTTGGTAACGCATTTTATTTTTCTATTTCCTGGAATAGAAAAGTGGCCAAGAAATAGATTTGGAGCAGAAATAAGAAGTAGAAAAAATCTACTTCTTTGTTCCTAGAAATAGAAATAGAAATAGAAAGGTCCGGTCCTCAAGTCGCGACCTCAGCTCCTCCTCCATCCTCCGTCGTCTGCAAACCGTCTCAAAGCACCGGTCCGGTCCATTCTCAGCGGAAATAATAAAAAAATTATAAAAAATTAAAAAATTCCAAAAATTCATAAAAATCAGAAAAATTCCCAGAAAATCCATAAAAATCAGAAAAACTCAGAAAACCCATAAAAATTTGCAAAATTCCGAAATTGAAAAAATTTAAAAAAATTCATACAAAGCTTTCTGGAAAATAAAAAGAGACAAATTTCGGGAAAGTAAAAAGTTTTAATAAACTTTTCCCAAAAAAAAAATAAAAAATAAAAAATTCACATAATGGCTTAGAATAAATTAAAAAATTCCGAAAATTCATAAAAATTAGAAAAATTTCAGAAAAATCCCATTAAAAATTAGAAAATTAAAAAATTCCCAAAATTCATATAAATCAAAAAAATTCTCAGAAAATCCATAAAAATCAGAAAAACTCAGAAAACCCTTAAATATTTGCAAAATTCCGAAATTGAAAAAATTAAAAAAATTTCATAAAAAATTTTCGGAAAAATAAGAAGAAACAGATTTAGGGAAAGTAAAAAATTTTAATAAATTTTACCCCAAAAAAATATAAAAAAATTCACATAATGGCTTAGAATACCTGTGGCCACCCACTTTGAGTGAAATTTAAATTTTTGAGGTGCCCAAGTGGTATTTTTGAAGATTCCTTAGTTTAGGGATTAAAAGGGGTTTTGAACCCCTAAAAAGGATTAGACAAACCAATAAATCATGCTTATTGATTTTTTTCACTTATAACTTGTACTTATAGTTAAATAAAAGATATAGATTTGAATGCAAAAAATTGGGAATAGAAATTTTGTATAGTTACCAAACGCATTTCTGTTATTTTTCTATTCCAGGAATAGAAATTTTGTGCAGTTACCAAACACATTTCTGTTCTAGAAATAGAAATTTTGTACAGTTACCAAACACATTATTTTGCTCAGAAACTCTTCCAGGAAATAGAAATAGAAAAAACTATTTCTGAAAAGAAATTGTTCCCAGAAATAGAAACGTTACCATACGCACCCTATAGTGCTCGAGTTATCATCATTTAACATGACGGAGAAAATAACTCGATCATGCTCCTAATGAATCATCTTCACCACTGTAAATGTGAGGGAAATTCATAATACTCCTTTGGATAGCTTAATTGAGTAAATATCATGATTTTGTATGAGATCTCATCTTTGTACTAGCCTGCTTATGCAAATAAATTTTCTTAGAAGGAATTGGGTACAAAACCATACAGTTGGTGATAACGTCACTACAGCTTAAATAGGCAAGGTAGCAACACATAGGACACAGAAGAAAACAAAATGCTAAAAGGTTTAGGACCAACTGCATGGTAGTGGCTTTCCTGGAATATCAGAAACCTCAAAAGCCTAAATATATGTGTATGCACATATAAAGGCACCGCAAAGTTAGACAACTAGTATAGACATGGTGCATTTGTGTATGACTTCATTAGTCAAGACAGCAGAATGCACAACCTGAAAAATCGTTTCTCACTAAATGAAATTGAATCACAACCAAGAAAGCACTCTTCAATAGCATGAAAATTCAAAATAGGAAGAGGAAAATGTCTTATTTGTCTGATAAGAAAATGTGTCTCATCTATGCAGGACAGGGAACAATATTATATCATTAATCAAATTCCCAGCATGCAAACTGCTCTCTTTTGTAAAGTGTCACACTAGGCTGGGTGCCATTACAAGGGTAGGGGATAAAAAAGTCAATATACACTCTGAACTTGTGGTGGATTGAACAACTTCATGGAAACAAATGCAAATGTCAATATGTAGATTCTTTATCCTCCAATTGAATTTTATCAACAGGTTAGCACACGCTAGGTGCCTCTCCAATGCAACTTAATATACTTTCAGAGGGCTAAGAAAGAGAGAAATGCAAGATGGTTCTAGATTATAAGGATCGAGGTCCAGATGCGCTAAAATTCAATCTCTAGTTCAATGTTAGTGGCAGATGAAACTCTTTGGTCCTTGAAGTTTGAAGGCTCGCAATACTCTGACATTAAACTGTCTTCTTAACCCAAAGATGTTTCTGAATGCAGCCTCTTAGGCTCTTAACCTCGCAGAGTACTTATTGGGATGATAGAACATAAATTTGTAAGGGGTTAGAGTTGAGTGTCTTTACTTGGAGGCTAATACAGATTCAGGATTTGGGTGATGAGATTTGGTAAGAAAAGACAGCCTTAACTGAAATCAAAATAAAGTCATCAGCTTCACAATGAAGATACCACATATCAATCCTAGAGCTCCCCAAGCCTCACAAATCAGGAGAATAGAGCATGCGCAGGCATGCATGCACAGATGCAAGATAAATCTATTCATACACTAGCACGGGAAGCGACAGTTATTCTAATTGTGACAATGAAGAGAACCCCCGTCCAGTAGTATAAAAGAAACAAATGAAAGATCCTCTTCCTGCTAAACTTCAGTCAAATTTGAATCCCAAACTATCAAAAGGACAATAATGTATGCACGCATGCGGGCACATGCAAATCAGGAGTCCAACGAAGAGTCATTCACTGATACAACAATTGGTCTCCAGCAAAACAAAAAACTACTGGGAGATTTCTGTTGGCACTCAAAAGAAAAAGGTCGTAAAAAACCAGCTCCGGTCATAAATGACATTGTAATATGCGACCAGTTCATTTAAAAACTCGGTCCGGCAAAATCCATCGATGATCGTTCTATTTAGCTGGTGACACCTATATTTTTGCCCAATTAAATCCCCCAAGGGCCACTCGCAGGGAGGTCGCGACATTAAACCACAAAATTCTTTAATGTCCTTGCCTCAACAATACTTGGGGTCCTTCTCTCATTCAGTTTGTCTTCACTTTATATTGGTGTTGTGGGCAAACATCGAGTTAATTATTGAAACTTAATCCCACCACCAAACGCCATAATATTTGTGTACCGTTAGCAAATCTGTGATAACTTTATGATGAACCCACCCATTAATGGTATTGACTAAGCCACAAAGTTCATCTACTTTGGCGAGCTCTATTGTACAAACTCCCCAAAAATAAGGGTAGATATAATTCAACTGTTAAACAGCAAAAGTATCATCCATGCAAGTATCCGTTTTAAAGAAAAGAGCTGACGATGAATGTTGCATCATATCCATAGCAAGCTATGATGACCTTAAGAAAGAAACTTGCTGAACCTTCATCTGGAGGAAATTTCAAAAAATTTAGCTTCAGTGTGAGATTAAAGCCATCCCTAGGGGGATCAAGAATTTGAACAACACCAGCATATGCAGCTTTTACAGCTTCAATGGCTCCAGAAGGAAGTCCACCAGGAAAATCGGTTTCTGGAGGTGGGGTGGGTAATGAAAGCGATAGCAGCAGGAGATGTGGATTCTTCATTGAGACCTACAAAATGCTCCAACTAAGGCAAGGATATCCACTATTTACATTATGAATTATAACAAAAGAACTAAATCTATCAGCTAATTTTACTTATATTTCTTTTCATTAGCAGATTTTACAAATTACCTGGAGATGATATCGGATGTCATCAAACTCAACCCAGTGATAATCAAGTTCAACTCCTTTCTCAAGACTACAAAATGAAAGAACGAACAAATCAAGGTCATAAGTAACGAACACAAGAACCAAAAAAGCTGTAATAATATGTACGTTTTAATTGATAAAGGAAGGACTATAGTTCATTCTACATCGTAAAATCAAAACATTAGAAGTATAAAAAAATTGACTATATAGTATATTTTAAAAATCTCATACGATTAGGGGTCAATTGAAATTTGCCTCTTAGAAACTGGGAAGTTTCTCCCTTTATCCCCAGTCTATTCATCTTTTTATAGCTCATTTCCTACATTAGCAAAAAATCATACTTGTTGCCAACAGAAAAATAAACCAAATCAGTTGCCAGACCTCATATTATCCCGTTATTCTCGCTTGAAGTTTGATTGATCCAAAAAAAAACAAAAAAATGGGCATAGCTAACTTTGAGGAGTGTCCAATGATTTGTTAATGTGCAATTTCGTTTCTATTCCCCTCTCAATCCCTAAGTTCATCTAACATTTGCTTGTGAAAGTGTGAAAAACAGGAGAGTATAAATCAGAAGCCAAGATCATCTCTTGAAGTTTGCCCTATGAAAATGGGCATGTGTCAATCACATATGATCCCAGCACAAACCGTTAGTCTGCTATCTCAACATATATCTGGAGTCTATCGAAGAGCTGCGCGTGTTAAACTAGAAAAACAGAAACAAAGAGCGAAAGGGTATCCAAACTAAGACGGGCCTAATGCAATCACAACAGAAACCGCCAATCTATTTCTGAATGGATTTTAGATCAGCCGCGTGCATCCTCTCATGGCATAACACTCTGTTCAATATCAGATCTTCAGTGAGATCAAAGCAAACACAAATAATCTTCCCTCGAAGTCTCCATCCATCCACACTTTGCAGGCCTTTTCCCAGCCCCTCTCAAATCCGAATGTCCCTCATAGGATCGCATCTTCTCGCGGAAATGTATAAACGCCGCAATATAGTCCATGCATATACCCCTTCAACTAGCGCCCCTCATCATATCATGCACCGCAGGCTACGCCAACTTTCCCCCTCGAACAAGAGCTCTGTCCTAGTCCTACCTTCATTCGACCGCCCCGTGCATCTACCGAAACACTCCCGCCTGCCTCCACCGCACTCGTTTCGCGGGCACAACCCTCGGTGCACGACGCGCATCGGCATTCGACGGAGGCCTCATCGCACGTCCTATCGTGCCGCGCGCTCTGGAGTCTAAGACGGCATGATCCCACAAATACGCACATCTCCGCCGTTTCTCCACCGGACTCGGCACGCCGCGCTCCAACCCCGGCCCAATCGACGGGGAACCTCGGAGCAAAAATCACAGAGCGCGCCGCGCAGCCGAAGAGATGGACGAACGGCCGGAACGGCGAACGGGAGGCACCGGCCGAGAGGATCAAACGCAATCGCGCGGAGACAGCGCGGGGACGGGGGGAAGGCGAGGAGGGAGAGGGAGAAGGAGGAAGCGAATGGGCGTACTTGTGGAGACGATTGAGCAAGGTCTGGTGCAGGAATCTGGAGTGGGACTGAAGCAGTATCATCGCCGGAGATCCGATCGCCGGAGAACCGATCCGATCGCCCCCTCTCTCTCTCTCTCTCTCGCCTTCCGACGTCGGACGTGCGTGCGACTCCTTCTACTTCGCCCACCTGCACAAGCCTTCTTCGAGCTCCGGTTTTTGTCCCCGCTTTTTTGCCTTTTCGTATTTTTTATATTTTTTTACAGCTTCTTCGTGAGAATGAACACACGGAAGTGAATTTGTATTTTATCTATAGAATAAAACCTTTTGTTCGAATTGAAAACAATAAAGGTATAAATAGGTTGTTTCTTTCGTAGAAAATAAATTATTTAAAAAATATTTTTCGAAAAAATGTTATATCGTATCTCTTACGAAATGAATGAACGAAAAATATTTCTATTATCGATGGAGATGTTTAGAAATAAAGTATTGTGATGAAAAATATTTTTCATTAGTTAATTATTTCAAAAAATACGAGGAATTATTTTTTTGAAAAATATTTCTCAAACAATTCATTTTTCACTGAACAAACGAAGACCAAATATTCTTTCACAAATTTGCTTTCGCAAATCTACCGTACCCATGTTACATATGCCTTTCATTGACAACCACAACAAAACAGAAAATCTAAACATACTAAATTTTCGTAAGCAGTAAAGGCGTGGACATAAACTTGAGAAATGATTGGTTCGATTTTATCACAACAAATATCATGCATACTGAATTATTCACGTGTTCGCCTTTTCATACATTTTTATCGCTTCATATTCATTTAAAGACGTGGTAATTCCGATTCTCTCGGAAATCTTCACGCCAAGCCAACCCTATCCCAATTCAAATTTTAACCGAGTCCAACTCGATCGGGATCCAAAACAGCCGGCACCCGAAAAATCTAAAAGTATGATAGCCAAGTGATCGCTCCATTATAAGACTAATGTCGATAAATATTATTAATAATATGTAATTTCGCTACGTTGTGTATCATGCAATAGTGTCAATTTGTAAATAACACAGTTTGATTATGATTATGATCCGTATAAAAAATTAAAATGGTAAGAAACAAAACCCTTTTGCTTTCTCTATCGGAACCGGGCGTCGGTGCTGGTAGCTCGCCGCTTTCGTGAGTGATGACGAGGTAAGAGAATGGGACGAGGAAGACGATCCAGAAGGTTCGGGATCGGAACGACGGAGAGGCATGGCGGCGGCGGCGGTGCCGGGTTGTTGCCCCTTGTCCGGCCCACGTCCCCCACGCCCGCCGCTCATCGTCGTCTCCACAGCAGCAGCAGCAGCAGCAGCAGCGCCTCCTGTTCCTGTTGGTACTTATACTCTCTCTATCTATCTCTATCGAGCATGAATTCTGCCATGGTAGGAAGGATGGGCATGATTGGCTTCGGCCCTCACATGGGTCGTAACGTTTTTCTTCTTTCTTGGTCTCTCTCGATACCATTCATGTTGCTGATATCAGGTACTGCGATTTCAAAATCTATGCCCTGAACGAGCCGCTTCTTCATCTTGGCCGAAGATACTCCAGGTTCTCTCCTTTTGTTCGTCGTCTCGGGTTGTTCTGCTCGTTGGGTGGGTTGAGGCTTTCTCTGGTACATGATGCTGCCTGGAATGTGCAGGCATTTTCGGCTATGGTTTTCCATCGGCGTTGGATTCGCCGTCGCGTCATTGCTTGGCATTGCTCTGGTCTGTTCTGAACCTTCTGTTTCGGTTATTATCGTGCTACGAGTTGTGGGGTAACTTTGCTAATGCCGGTGTCTCGCCTTGAATTCGGTGGTTGGCCAGGGTCTCCTTTACGAGTTAGCTCGGTCGTTGCATGTTCTCCACTGCAAAGTGGAGCTCAGCAGCCTACTGTTTGGATTTTCTCCCATGGTTGAGTTGCTCTGTTCAGCTCTAATTTCATTTGGCTTATGATGAACAGCTCGAGTGAAAGAGTAACATGAAATATGCTTTCCAGGTTTCTGATATGACCGTCTCCCTTGCTGATGCTGGATATATTTTCCTATCGACCTTGATATCCGTGTCCTGTCATGAATTCGGGCATGCTGTCGCTGCTGCAAGGTCAGCTCCTGAAGTTGATCCTTAAACTTGTCGATGTCTCTTCATCAGTGAATCATGTTGTAGGTGCTAGTTGCAAAATCTTCGTAAATACAGATAAAACCATTGTAGGCCCCAGAGGATCATAAGCCAAAAATTCTTAGTAACTACACCAAGTAGTCCAAACATTTGTGACTCTATCAAGTGGAATCTTGTTCCAGATACTTCAGTACAGAGATAACTGAAAGTTATTATGGTCAGACAATGTTTATATTCATAAACTCATCGAGTCTTGGACATGAATAGAGTACCATAATAAGACTTTGCTATCCTTAATGGAATCTGTACAGTTTTCGCGTGTTAGCTCGAGAATCTTGTGCACGTTGACAGTTAAAAGGTAGCAAGTTTACTTGAGGTCAAGGACTTGTCAGGTGCCAGTTTCTGGGGTACTAAACCTGGTCTGAACATCATCAACCCACCTTCCCACCTTATGCAGCAAAAATAGTAGAGCATGTAAAATTGCTTGGTCGGGTCACTGCATGAGAAGAAAGTTCCAAGCGTGAGGGGTTACCAGCTGACAGTAGCCAAGAACCTTTTGTGAATGTTGACTTCGTTTGGTTACAAGGCATGGTCACATTTAACAATTGAATTGGGAGAGGGAGGGAGGGAGGGAGGGAGTGAGTAATGTAGTAGTGCTAGACTGCCTCTACCTTTATCTTCGCCATTACCTTTATTGAGAATCAAATTTGTTAATTTGAAAAGGCAAAGAGAGAACTGGTCATATATTGGTTCTTATATATATACTATTGTACTGATGTTAAAACTGTGCAGCCTTCATGGACTGAAGTAACCATTGTTGTTATGCAATAAAATAATCGATTTCTTGAATTTTAAATTTCACTATGGGTATTACGTTGTGGTTTGTAAATAAACAACAATGATAAGGATGCACTATGTTGATTGACATTACTAATTTGAGTTCTGGTTCTGGTATGTAATTGTCTTTAGAAGTCAGTTATCTCATATTGAGTGCCTGACTTGGCCAAATTGGTTGTACCTAGCAGTTCTTTTCCTTAAATTCATGAAACTCTAGGTTCTCATGACATTCTATAGGCACCTGTTCAATGGAAAGCAGCGAGGGTATACAAGCAGAATATGTTGCCATTTTTGTAGCGGTATTGTTTCCTGGTGCCCTGGTGGCCTTTGATTATGAGCTCCTGCAGGCAGTGCCAAAATTTTCAGCTCTTCGCATATACTGTGCTGGTATATGGCATAATGCCGTGGTAATATAGAAACTTCTATATTTGAGTACACAAATCTCACTCTACCAACTTCTTTTACTTCAAAAACTCACATCCATTTTCTTCTATCCAGATATGTGCGATCTGTGGATTGACATTGCTACTTTTACCATGGATCCTTTTGCCCATGTACATACATGGTGAAAACCCTATGGTAGATGCATTATCTTTTCGCATGTTTGTTTCAAGTTATCTGGTGTGCTCTTTTCTGCTGATCATCTCCTTAACGGTATTTGCTTGCAACGTGGAATAGGTTTTGGACGTGCCTAATTCCTCGCCTCTCTATGGTTACCTATCTCCTCATGACATGATCTTGTCAGTGGATGGCATACCCATTCACAGTCCACAAGAGTGGGTGGATCTGACTGCTTTGATTGATGGAGTTGCATTTCCAGAATCAAACTATACTAAACAGAACAGAGATGTTAGGGAAGGCAATGGTGAGAAGGGATATTGCGTCCCCAATGTTTTAATAGAAGGAAGCGAGAAGATTCAATTGGTAGATAACATATCAACTTGTCCTTACGACTTTAGCAGCTTTACTAGGACTCCTTGCTCAGAAACAAGTTTGTTATATGACCACCCTGGAGACAGTGCTGCAATTAGAAGAGATCGCACATACTGCTTGAACTCACAGGAAATTGTCAAGCTTAAAAAGTGCGGCACTGGGTGGCTCAAAGCTGTCACCAATGGAAGCAGCTGCATTTGTTCAGAGGTTTCTTTTCAATATAAATTGTCCTGCAGTTCTTGGTATATGAGGTCTCATTTTTGGAGTACATAACTGCAGCTTAAAACTTGTATAATGCCTGCAGGATGAATCATGCTTAGCTCCAATACACGACCCAGGTTCAACATGGATTGAGATCTCGTATGCAAGCCCCTATTCTAAAGAATGCTTGCAATCCATTAGAAAATTAGATCCCAGTTCTCAGACTTCTCTATCTACAGAACCAAACTGCAGTGGAAGTTTTGTTTATGTCGGTGACTTGATCTCCTTGGCACAGTCAGTTTGGTTAACAGCATATCAACCGCGCTGGGCATTTGGAATTGGCACATATCTCCCACATGTCCTGGAAAAGATTGTGACATGCACCTTCCATGTCTCTCTAATGCTAGCTATTGTCAATGGTTTACCAGTAAGTTAACATTTACATTGTCAAGCATTTATTTTATTTACTATCTCGTGAGGAGATGGGCTCATAGCGCTCATGTTGAAAGTACTCTGTTTTCTTTACTTCACATTTCCAAATTATGGATACTCTCAACTGATTCGGGCAAATTATTTAAAAAAAGAAAAAGAACTTTGGGTAGATGAGTTGCTATGCGAACCGGATATTTTCCAAAGCAGTTACCTCGGGTGGACGCATGAACTCCTCTGAAGTTTTTGAAACAATAGGAAAATTGCAAAAGAACCTCCTCGACTTGAGGCTGATTGCAAGTTACTTCTTATCCCTTCAATTTTGCATTTATGCTGATCTTTAGGACTGTTGCAGTTATTATAAGTTTCTCCCTCAATCATCAATCGGTTGCAGTTGCCAAATTTTTTTTTTCCAATTTATGGTTTTATCCATGATTGAAGTTTGTATGGTGGGCGGTTAACACGCAAGCACTTGCAAATACCCAAATAGATTTTGTGTTCTGATCATGGCAGTATATGTTTACTAGGTATTCCTATTGGATGGAGAATCCATATTGGAAGCAGGTCTTTGCTACAGTGGTTTGCTGAGGCCAAGGGAAAGAGAAAGAGTTCTCCGAGTAATCCTCTGGACTGGAACGGTGATGTCTATCATTGCCCTGTTGAGGATGGTTCACACAGCCTTTCTTTGAGCTACAGATGTTACATATGTATCGAGAACTTAGGTTTCATTTTTTTGCGCAAAACATATGGACTTTGCTCAGAGACTCTCAATTAGGTAGTACCTTTTGTTTATTTTTTTGATTTTTTTTGTCAATTATACACGATGCTAGCCTTCCTCATGCTGTGATTTAGACTCGTTACTGTCAATTGTAGATACTCTGGCAGTGAGAACCCTACACAAGAATGTGATACCTTGAGGGAGCAATCCGGTGAGAAAACTCATGTATGTTTCTGATTTAGGAGGACCTTTTAACTTATTCTTAGGACGGACTGGTTGAAGGGCCAAACTAGCTAGTGGACCACATTTTTTTGGCTAACGTAATGTAGAGATATGAAATGAAACCCTGCTCGCTAGTGGAGCACATTTGTTAAGTCCTTCAGATGCAGAGTTGTTTGTCGAGGATATGAATTATGTTTTTTTTTCCTTGGGTTGTTCGAGCTTGGAGACTCAGCACATTACCTGTGTTCCTTATGCATGCGGCTACATAACATGCTTATTCTCAGTGCATGTCATTTCGTGGGGAGCAGTACAATTTTGGAAACTGATCTTCTGTTCAAGCGATTTTATTAGATAGTGGATACTGATGGATTTAGGGAGGGACGGTGGTGAATTTTGGGAGACAATGAACAGATGGCTAAGGAAGGAAATTGTGGTGTGCTATCAAAGGTCGTCAAATTGGCGGAGCCAGTATAAGAAGGTCTTTGAATCAAAGAGGTATGTGAAGATGTCGCGGAACTAAAAGATGGAAATTTGTTGTGAATAAGGAATGCCGGCATCGGATTGGGAATGTCAAAACACTTGGTTGCAGACCTTATTTAAGATTTCAAAAGGTTTATGCCATTCTCAAGCGAACCATCGCAGGTCACACGTTTGTCTAGGGGAATTTACTAGTGAGCTTCTATTCTTCAGAGTTTCTTATAAAAAAGAAGAAGAAAGGGTTGCTCTTTTCCCTGTAGATGCATGAGATTAAGGGCGTTGCTGATGCCGGCATCTTGGGCCTCTTAAACAACAAGCAATTGCAGCTCTTTAGGCGAACTGATTAGAGCACGAGTAGCATGTTGGAAATGGACTGGGTTAAGGCCCAACGCAAGGTCCCACAAGCTCACTGAACACAGCAAAATTCTCTTGTGAAGCGGATATCATCCAACTATTGGCAGGAAAGGAGAGATTTTGTCGCGATGCTTCACGTGAAAAGACTCAAGTCATGTACATTCAAGCATGCCAATACGCATCAAAGTTAAGAAGGAAGTTTATGGCAGGAGGGTTTTTGCTGTATGATCTGGGACGATTCAGTTCAGCCCAAAAACAAAGAACTAACTTCACCTAATAGCCGTTGTGGTGGGCATGCTCCCAATCACACCCTCCAGGAGGAGACCCAAAACTCATGCCGCGCACACCTTTTGCGTAAGCGCGCAAAAGACTCCTTTTTCCAGCTTCATAACGGCATGTTAGCACGCGTGACGCCTATTATTATAGGGGAAACCCCGCCTAATCACCCGAGAATCGGGCAATGGTTAGGAGGGAGCGCCGTTTTGACTATCGGTGCCTGTGGTATTGTTATCGTCGTTTCTGTTGCGGGTCACGGGCAACCACACACAATAAATGACCAGGAAGGCATCCCCGACCGGACAAGCCGGTAACATTCGGGATTCATGCAAAGGTCGCTGTCAACGTCATTGTACAATGCACATTGACTGAAAGGGCAAAGAGTTTTTGGATGGCCAAGTTTATACACACATAAAGAAAAGACACAGAAAAAGAAGGGAACCAAACTCTGTTACGAGTCTTGAGAATAAGGGCGGGCGGGGGGATGATGGGGGGGCTGTGCGTCCACATGGAGTGCTCGCATTTGCAGAGCCCCATGTGAACCACGTCCTTCTCTCTCTTCTCTCTCTACCCGTTAAAGAAAGACTGAAGGCGTCCAAAGATGGCGATTTTCATTTCTTTTAGGTGAAGGAGAGACCATGGGTGGTTACGGAGTCGCCATCGCTACTGGCTTGTATCGGACCAACCAGCACCCGATCTCCATTGTCGGTACCAGGTTCTGGTTTGGTTCGGTTCGGCCTTATTGAGTTTCGCCACCAGTTATTGCTAAGGATTAAGATTTGAAAATATATAGTAGGGAAGGAAAATAGCAGTTTAGGCAAATTCGAACTCAAACTCTTATACCATGTAAAACTTTGTGAGACCACAGTCAGCAGCACTATAAGTTTGAACTGACATTCAAATATTATGAGAATTCATCACTACTGGTTTGTTTCAGATCAACCGGCATCTGATCTTCACTGTCGGTATTAGGTTTTGGTGGTTCGGCCTGATTGAGTAATATATGACAGGGGAGGAAAATAGCGTGCCATGTAAAACTTTGTAAGATCACGATCAACTGTTTTAAAAGTTTAAACTTTAACTTAAGACATGGATTGCCATTCAAATATTATGAGAATTCCCTAATCTAACTTTTGGAGTTTCTCGCAACCCTATTTCTTTTTCAATAAGAGTGTGCGGTTCATTATCTTATTTTCCGCCGCCTCTCCATTCGTCTTGTTGCACACTTGACTCATAGCCTAGGTTGTGCTCTAACTGAGTTTTTAGATCATCGCGCGCCTCTTCTTTTTTCATACGAGACTCACTTGATCTAAAGAGCTTATGTGTCTATCCATACATCCTAGGAGCCGGGCTCGCGCAGCGAGAGGTCTCGATTCTGGCAATTCCGGCTAATCGACACAAAAAAAGAAGAAGATAAACTAAAATATAAAGGGTCCTCGTTTACGTTTCCAATTTGACAATGTGAATTAGATCCCTCGAATGACCGACCATTCATGTAAGGTCTTTTTTAAACTAGTGCTGACAAGAGCTTCTTTAAAAATCTTGCGAAATCGACCCATGTGGGACTCTGCTGTTGTCTTGACAAGACTGCATTTGAAAATGTCGAGTCATGATAAAATACGTGGGCAGCAGCAGCGGCAGCTGCGGTAGTAAATTACAAGAACAACGCCATCGTCGACAAGCGCTGTAAAAGGCTGACAGGCCCGACGATCATCCAGAAGGAGACACGCCATGACTTCTCCCCGAGCACGGCAACTCCCCTTTTCTTCCAAAGCAACGCACGCCTGGTCGTATCGCCAATCTCAGTTCGCGCTGTTGCTGACTCTGCATCATCCCTCAAGGAAAAAAGAAAGTCGGAAAAAACCCTCAGCACTAGAGTTCCTGGGTCTCTCATGTTGTACGAAGTTTGACTGGTTCTCGTCCTTTCCGCGCAAATTCAAAACGAAAGAACAGCGAAATCAATCGGGGGGTCGCTGTCCCAGCATCGTGCTGCTGTGCTGATCATCTGATCCGAAACTCAAAGTCTCTTGGCAAGAAATTCTTCCACTAAACGGGATCATGTGGAGACACGTAATTTACAAAATTAAGTAAGTCTGTCCCGGAATTCTCTACATTAATCGCGACGTGGATCGGGGTCATCAAGTTGACTGGGATTGCATGCCTGAAAGTCTGCAGATCCCACGTCAACGTCATGGAACATGCGGATGGATCCGGCGGGCCGATTCTTGATCCCCTCCATCTTTTCCATCTGTTTTGATCATGTGCGAGGAAAAAGCTGGTAGGCTTTTTGAATTCGAAGGAGGAGAGGTGGAAATGGTCGACGGAGAACAGTGGCCCCCCCTAGTTCGTTCGAAGGAATCAAGGACGGCGGGGCCACCGGCGGCATTGTCTGCTCCCTCCTTTCCTTCACCCCCTCGACGTATGATGTATGGCACACATGCCTCCCCCTCCCCCTGTGTTTGTACAGAAACTGCAATCCTCTCGGGTCATGCCAAAGTGTGATTTCGCAGCCGATCGTGGCGAATCTATCGTTTGTCGTAACGAGAGATTGGCTTAATTCGGCGCGTGAAAGCTCTATTTTACCGTGAATTTCTTTGTATTGATAGTCATTGAGCGATACCGAATAGTGAAAGATCATTTTCATGAAAGAGTAGCGATAGCTGATTCAAGAATGTTGCACGAAATTATCTTGCAACCTAGATGCCAAATTCAAAATAAATCATAGTTTACGTTAATAATGAAGCTGTTTTCTCGATAGGCTCGGCGCGTTTTCCACCCTGTCATGGCAGGAGATACCCCGGCCACTTTGCATCGCGGATATTACCCTAGCAGAAATCACTAGGATAAGTTAGGAAACTCCACTAATTAACAAAAACAATAGATTGCCTTTTTGATTTTTATTTGAAGACACAACCACCTTTACTTTTATGAAAAGACTTCTATGAAAAGACACCTTTTTTTTTTTACCCTAGCGCCCCTTTTCCCGCACGCTTTCAAACAACTTCTTTTCTCATGTTCATTTTCTTCTGAACTTATTCTCCATTATCCAAGAGTTTAACCGCTTCTTATAATCGGAGCAAGCATTAAAGATACGTCAGTCTAAAGGAAAGGTTGAATATTGGGGTTGATTATATATTACACACAATTCATATTCCGCAATTATTATTGTAGAGATATTGATCTTTACAAATACATAATAACAATGAATGTTTGGAACTTTAAGTGTACTCAACTCTATCATATCGTTAACCGTTAAAAATCATGTAGTGATGACATGGAAAATAAATAAAAATTGGAGTATTAGATTCACCGAATAAAATGAAAATTGAGCAATTAAAATATACGGACTATAACACCATGACATATATCAAAGTTTCAATAAAACCAAATGCATTCATCACAATGAGTAAATGATTCTCTTCATTCTTACATGTGCTTAGGTTATTTTTAGAGTAATTGTTTCCTAATATATATAACTGATTGACACGATAACTAGTTGTCTATCATAAAAATAAAGTTTTCTTTTATGAAAAAGAGGGTCACTAGTTTCGTCCAAAATGAACACAGAAAAGAAAAACAAGAATAAAAAAGAACAGATCAAACAAAAAGATGAAAAAAAACAGAGAGAGGCAAGAGACAAGCTTAATTCAAGAGTGGGCACCACATTTGACCTTACTCTTAACCTTCTTTGTACCGGTAAGATTGTAATTGAAAAATTCCAATAACATGCTAAAGGGAGACCTACAAGGGATAATGTCGTCTGTTCAAAGTGTCAAGAGTGTCTCCAGCCATATTTAGGTGGAAAAATACGAGCTTTCTCGATTTACCATTTCTTAAATAAATCTTTTTACTTTTAATATTACTCTCAAATCCATCGAGTGTTAGACTATTCAATAGGTGGAAGGATCTTCACCCATCTTTTTCGGTCAATCTTTACTTTTGACATATTTACATTCTTCAAATTACACGGCTGTCACAATTTGACCTTTATCAGCACAAGACATTTCAAATCTTTTGAAAAGTACAGATATCAATACGTAGAATC